AGGGGAATGAATGCGAGCACTTGAGCCCCGCCTCCACCACGTGGAACTTGCTTGAATCGATCATAAAGGACACCTTCGCCACCTGTGGTAAGGGAGGGAGATGAAGGGAGTGCGAGGCAGGGAGAGTGAGCTCGTCTAAGGGAACACGGGCACTTGAGCCCCGCCTCCACCCATGGAACTTGCTTGAATCGATCATAAAGGGGACCTTGGCCACCTGGGAATGGGGAGCAAGTGGGGAGAGGGCGAGTAGAGCACCAGCGGGGAATGAATGAGAGCTCGTCTAAGGGCACACGGGCACTTGAGCCCCGCCTCCACCACGTGGAACTTGCTCGAGTCTATCATGAAGGGCACCTTTGGGATGTGTGTAAATAAAGAACACAGGGACGGTAATGTGTGGGAAGTGAGGTGAATGAATGCTATCACTTGCCCTTCCCCTTCCCTTTTCCTCTTCATCCTCACCAGCCATGTCCCACTTGTCCTTCCTTCCCCTCCACCAATGCAACTCACATCAGGCTCAGACACAAGGAGGTTGACGAAGCGAGTCATGGCAGCCACGGAGTCCAGCAGCCCCTCGTCAAAATTAATGTCAATGATCTGCGCGCCCGCCTCCACCTGAGCGATGGCGATGCTGAGCGCCTTGTCCCAGTTGCCCGCCATCACCGCCTTCTTATAAATGCTCGACCCCGCCACGTTGCACCGCTCGCCGATGTTTATAAAGGGGATGGTCTCGGGCGTGTAGTTGAAGGGCTCGAGGCCGCTCACTCGCATCAGGTTGCGCACTGTGGGGCGGGGACGGGGGCGCACTCCCTCCGCCTGCCAGGGGGTTGAGGGTTGAGGATGAAGGGTTCAGGGTTCAGGGTTCAAGCTTCTAAACGCTCACTTGAAGCAGCAGGTTACTCTCAAACGCTGAAACAGCATGAATGTGGTCGGGGGTGGCGCTTCCCCCCCCTGGCAAAGTCCCTCGCGTTTCCACCCTAAGCTATCTTATCCACACAACCACGAGTACTTTGCCCCTAGAGTCGACTTTTGAGACGACTCAAAAGTCACCTCATTAGCAATCTTATCCACAGAACCACGAGCACTTTGCCCCTAGAGTCCCTAACATGATCCCCTAAGCACTCACGATTGCTGAGACAGCACTCACGATTGAGTGGTGTCACAGCAGCCGCCCAGCACGTTCACCAGCCCGCCCGTCGCAACGTCCCGCACGTTCTCCCCCACTTCCAGCACTCCCGTCCCCCCCCCTCCCTCCCCCCCCCTCCGCCCCATCCCATTCCCACAGCACTCACGATCTTAGAGACAGCATTGATGTGGTCGGGAGTGGTGTCACAGCAGCCGCCCGGCACGTTCACCAGCCCGCCTGTGGCGAAGTCTCAGACCTCCCACTTCCTCCCCACACGTTTCCCCCCACACGTTCCCCCCCACTTCCAGCACTCAAACCTCCCAACTGCACTCCCGTCCCCCCCCTCCCTCCCCCCCCCTCCGCCCCATCCCACCCCACCCCATCCCGACAGCACTCACGATCTTAGAGACAGCGTTGATGTGGTCGGGGGTGGTGCCACAGCAGCCGCCCAGCACGTTCACCAGTCCGCCCGTGATGAAGTCGCGCACGTTCTCCGCGAACTGGGCGGGCGTCTCGTCGTACCCGCCGAACGTGTTGGGCAGGCCCGCGTTCGGGTAGCAGATGACAAACGTGTCCATGAGCTGGGGAAGGTGAGAACGGAGAGGGGGCGGGCATGGGGGAAATAGGGGAATGGGGGAGAGGGTGCAAGGGAGGAACGGGGGAATGGGGAATCGGGGGAATGAAGGGAATGGGGAAACGGGGGGAATGTGGTAATGGGGGTAAGGGAAAGTCAGGGGAATGATGCAGAAAACGGTAGGAAGCAATGCGCCTACCTTGTTGATGGTGTCCACGCATGGACGCATGTCCCTCGCTGCATGTGACTCAGCTTAAAGCACAACTTAAATCCGCCTCAAACCTGTCTCGCCCTAATCGCGCCTACCTTGTTGATGGTGTCGACGTATGGACGCATGTCCCTCGCCCCCAGCGCGCAGTTGAGCCCGATCGCCATCGCGCGCGCGTGCGACACGCTGACCAGGAACGCCTCGCCAGTCTGCCCGCTCAGCGTGCGCCCGCTGTTGTCCACAATCGTACCGCTGATCATCACCGGCACATCGTACCCAACCTCTTCAAACACCACATCCACCGCATACAACGCCGCCTTCGCGTTCAGCGTGTCGAAAATCGTCTCCACGAGGAGAATATCCGCGCCGCCCTTGAGCAACGCGTGCACCTGCATCTTGTACGCGTCCACGATCTCGTCGAACGTGCACGCGCGAAACGCGGGATTCTCCACGCTCGGCGACACGGACAGCGTCTTGTTCGTCGGGCCGACCGCGCCCGCCACGAATCGCGGGCGCGTCGGGTCCTTCTGCATCGACTTCTCCGTGGCGCGCAGCGCGACCTTCACCGCCTCGATGTTAATCAACACCACCTCCTCCTCCGCCTGCAACTCATAATCCGCCTGCGAAATACACGTCCCGTTAAACGTATTCGTCTCGATAATATCCGACCCCGCCTCCAAATACTCCGTATGAATCCCCTCGATAACATCGGGGCGCGTTATAACGAGGAGGTCGTTGTTGCCCTTGAGATCGTTGGAGTGATTCTTCCAACGGTCACCGCGGAAATCCTCCTCGCGGAGCTTGTGGCGCTGGATCATGGTGCCCATGGCGCCGTCCAGCAGCAGGATGCGCTGCCGCATCATCGCCTCCAGCGACTCGAACAGATCGCGCCGCACCATCGCCACGTTCTTGCTGCCGTCCTCGTTAGTGGGAGACTCGGGATCGACACGAGACTCGCCGTCCACGATGAAGCTGAGATACAAGGGAAGGGAATCCGGGGAGGGAGAACGGGCGGTAAGCTAGTGCGGGGAGTTACAGGTAGCTTCGTGACATTACTTGATATTCGTAAGTTCAACCGACGACCGTTACCCCAATATCGGAGACCCTATATCAGGATCGGCTGGCTCCATTTCGAAGGAAGCTGTACTGTCGATCTGGCCTAGCTGCGTCAAATTGCTTAGCTCCCTTAACCGAACGCACCTGTATTCGATCGGTCCCTGAGGGCACGTGTAGTCGATGTAGCGGACGGCTTCATGGCAACTGGCACGAGGTGACTATTGTGTCGACTTAAACACACACCTGTATTCGATTGGTCCCTGGGGGCACGTGTAATCGATGTAGAACTGCCCGGGGTTAGCAGCGGACGGCTTCATCGCGACCGGCACGCCGCCCGAGAAATCTCCCACCACCTCCACCTTGGACCCGCCATACGGCCAGATAAACTGCGTAATTCCCAGCTCTGCACGCAAAAGGCGCGGACAACAGTGGCCATAGTGAAAACAAGAGTAAATTTCAACAAAAGTGAAAACCGGCGCTGTCAAGATTGCAGTTGATCGCGCGTGCCGAAGCGAGTGACTGAAGCGTCAAAAGAAGGACGAATTCTACGCGCGTTGTGGTGTCACAGACGACGGTTGGTCGTGCACGCAGGAGCGGATATGCTTCGCCACTTACTGTCTTCTGCCTTGGGAGGGGGACGACGCCCGGCGGCCAGCGGGACGACTCCTCCTGGTTAAGAGAAACGCAATTGGAATAAGAGAGAACCGGGATAAGGACGTACTCGTAAAAAGGACGCATTCCGAAAAAATACGCACTCGTTCTAATGACTCATCCAGAATAACGGTATGACGCGGACGATAATCCAAATATGAGTAGCAGAAGTCACTAAATGTTATCTATGCTCGGTCAAACAATCAACCAGTTAACAGAAACCTTTGCTAATTCTTGACTGATCTAATGTTACTCCAATTATCTGTGAATTCACCTCTTAAGCAGCTTGTACAACATTGGCCTTACCTGAAGGAGCAGGCTTGGCCGCGGTAGGCACAACGGGAGCAGCGGCAGCAGCAGCGGCGGCGGCGGCGGGTTTCTCCAGCTTAACTGTAGAAACGGACGGCTCCGCAGCTACGCGTTTCTCAGGCGCTGCTGCGGTGGAAACAGTTGACGACTCATCGCTCTTCCTCCTAGAGAAAAACGCGAAAAGAGCTCCGACAAGGGCTGCGATCACGATGACTACTGCGGAATGCGCGATCGCACGCCAGGCCACTGCCACGACGAGGATGGCCACCGGCGCTACAGACTGACGCGCTAATCGACCGAAGTCCATGGTTGGAAAGTCGACCCAGCAGGGTCACGACGCGGCAATTGCGGAAAGCAGCCAGCCTAATCACCAAGCAGCGAGATCCCGCTTCAAGGCACGGCGATTCCCAAGGTTTTGAGACAAAAAGCCGAGGAAAGAGCTTTGGAAGGACTGATCTGACTGACTGTCAAAATCAGACTGGAAAGTGGAGGAACTGTATGGAGAGGAAAAGGAGACGAGAAGTGAGGGAAAGGAAGAGGTCGGCATGGGCGAAAAAGTTTGCGAATCATTTACGATGTTCGTCTGGCCTCGAAATTCCGAAACACGGAGATTGTCGCGACTGCGACAAAACCTTGACGAATTTCGCCCGGCTGGTGATCTCAATCCCGAAGAACAGCCATTGTCGGGGAGTGTCACACAGTCTTCCATAGGTGCTTTCCCGCTTCTCCCACAGTCGAGGGGGTGAACGAAAGCGTTCCACGTGGCGATAGGGCTTTTGACGATGTGTCAGAGGTCACAGGGACTGGTGCCTCGGATCCCTCCCTTGTCATGAGACATGCTGACGCGGCTCGGTGGAATTAATTTATGCATTAAGCATGTTACTGTACATGTGATTGTCAACTCACAAACAAATCATTTTATGCAAACTCGCTGTGACCCAATCGAGCGGAGAGCATCACAGATTGCAATTTATGAACATTTTTCAATTTGTAATTATCAGACCCGCAAAACAAGGTCACATTCCGCATTAGGCTCTTCGAAGGCTTCAGACTCGAAGCCCACTAGTAACCGCGCAGCCATGGCGACGCTAATCTCCTCCGCCGTGCTTCCCGCCGCCATCTCCGCGCCCGTCCTGCCACCTCAACGAAAAATCCGCGCGAACAGCGCCAGTTTCGCCGCGTCCCTGAGGTCGCGGGGATCAAGTCCCCTCAGCAGCGCGTTTCAGGTTCGAAATTCGCACATTCCGCAAGAACCGGCAGAAACTGGTATCTCGGAGCTCAACGCACGCTTAACCCTTTCATTTCTTTCCGCCGTCTCCGCCGTCTCCACCGTCTCCGCAGTTTCCGCAGTTTCTGCTCGGACCTCACCCCCCCCATTCCCCATTCGCGCACCCATGCCCCCTCCACTGCGCCATCCGCTATTCGAGTTCAGGGCACGCCCGTGAGTCGCGCTAAGCTTCACGCGCAGCGGCAGCAGGCGGCGCACGCGGCGCGAGGCGCGACAGTGGTGGCGGCCGCGTCGCCCAAGGGGACGGGGAAGGGCACGGTGGTTATCGAACCCGACCCGCGGATCCCCATCGTGCTGCTCGGTGCGTGTGTCATGTCGTGTCATGCCTTCTTGTCTTCCCCACTCCTCCCTCGCCCCCGCCCCCGCCCCCGCCCCCGCCCCCGCCCCCGGCCCCCCTCCTCTTAACGGCTCCTCCCCCACTGCCATCAGGTGCCCACAGTGTGTCCATCACTCTCTTGGTTCGAATCACACGCATTTCTCCCCTCATCCCCCTCATCCCCCTCATCTCCCTCACCTCCCCCCCCCCATGTCCCACCAGGTGTATCCGGGGCTCTCTTCCTCGCGGACAACAAGCTCGCAGCTGCGCCCATCAGCCTGCTGAGACACTTCAACATGAAAACCCGCACGCACTACTCCCATCCCCACACCCAACCCCTCCACCTCCCCCTTCCCCTTCCCTCCCTCCCCCCTGTCCCACCAGGTGTATCGGGGGCTCTCTTCCTCGCGGACAATAAACTTGCAGCCGCTCCCATCGGCCTGCTCGGCGCGCTGCTCGCCTTCCAGGTGCGTTCCGTTTGCTTCAGGTGGGCTTCAGGTGGTCCTCAGGTGGGCTTCAAGCGGTCTCCAGGTTATCTTCAGGTGGTCTTCATGTGGTTTCCATGCCTTCCCCCATGCGCCCTCCACCCACTATGCGCAGACCACGCGCGTGCGCTTTGTGTTTGGGGAGGACGCACTGGAGGTGCGCATAGGGCAGCAGCTGGACTCGTCTGGGGAGAACGTGTTTGTGGGCGGCGAGAACAAGTGGAGGTGAGCTGCCGGTCTGGCCTTCATGTGACTTTCAAGTCCATGACTTCAGTGTGCCAGCATGTGGGGGTGCGGCAGCGTGTGAAGGTGACTTGGAGGTGCGCATAGGGCAGCAGCTCGAGTCGTTAGGGGAGAACGTCTTCGTGGGCGGCGAGAACAAGTGGAGGTGAGAGGTCGGCCTTTGCGTGGGTGGCAGCGCGTGAGGGTTTGGAGGCTTGAGTCATGGAGGACTTGATGGTTCGCCCGGAGGGAGAGCAAGCACGCACCCTTGCATGTTCCCTTCTTCCCCTCCCTTTCTTACCTTCCCCTTCTCACCCTCTCCTTCCTCCCTTCCCCTTCTCACCCTCTCCTTCCTCCCTTCCCCTTCTCACCCTCTCCTTCCTCCCTTCCCCTTCTCACCCGTCCCTTCTCTCTCCCCCTTTCACTCCCTCCCCTTTCCACCCTCATACCAGGTACGACACATTCGTCAACTGGGAGTCCTGGTGGCCGGCCTTCCCTGTGCTGTTTCCATCTTATGACTTGACTTACAACATTCCCTCTCTTTCCCTTCCCTTCCCTCCCTCACACTCACCAGGTACGACACATTCGTGAACTGGGAGTTTTGGTGGCCAGATTTCCCCGTGCTGGTCTATTTCAAGGAGACCCAGACTCGCCCGGAGGGGCAGGTGCACTTCTTCCCCATCATTGCGGTACGTGCCCACCACACCAGTGCTGCTGCTAAATCCCAATGTGTATGTGTATGTGTTCGCACGTTCTATCTGTGTTCATGCACTCTTCTATTTTGAAAACAGCCAGACTTGCCTGGAAGCGCAGGTGCACTTCGTCCCCATCATTGCGGTATGATGTGATGGTGGTGCGCTGCGGTCCCTCCAAGGCACACACACCCACATACACCACACCCCATTACAATCCCACCTTCGTCCTTTCCTCTCTTCCTTCATCCATGGCAGAACGGCAAGCAGCTGTACGATGCGATGGTGGAGGGTTGTGGTCCCTGCAAGCCCACACTCCCATACACAGTCTAATGCCCCTCTTCCCGCCATCCTCCCCTCCCTTCCTCCCCTCCAATTCTTCCCTTCTCCCCTTCCCCATCTCCCGCAGAACGGCAAGCAGCTGTACGATGTGATGGTGGAGCGCTGCGGTCCCTCCAAGCCCACACGCCCCCACACATTCCATCATCCCCTTTTCCCCCTCCCCCCTTCCGCTCCTCTCATCTCAACCATGGCAGAACGGCAAGCAGCTGTACGATGTGATGGTGGAGCGCTGTGGTCCCTCCAAGGGCAGTGGCCCGTCTGCTTGATTGATACCCGGTTACCACGTGTGGTTGGAGTGTGAAACATCTGTACACCTTGGCCTTACAACATTAATGTATTAATCCTGCCTGGCACTTACAGTACTGTATGGTTGAGCCTACTGTAACAAATGTTATTCCCTGTCACCGTAAAGCTATCCCACAATCTCCAGAAACATCTCAATCAGGCCCTCAGATTCACTTTAAGGGACGTTGATGCATCAGGGTCCCTGTGAACAAAACCCTGATTTTCAGTGTTCCTAAAAAAAAAACCCTGAATTTTCAGGGTTCCTAAAAAACAAAGCCTGAATTTTCAAGCAAATGAAAACCTTGTATACAAGGGTAGGCTTTACGAAACATGACAGCGGAGGGATTCGAACCGGGCCCTTACCCGTCTTACGTTCTCGTACGTGAAAAATCAGAAAATGTTGGTTGACAGGAAGGATTCGGAATGTGCATTCAGTGTACACTTCGATAAAAGACTGAAAAATCAGTGTCAACTATGAAATAAAGGCTGAAAAATCAGTGTCACAAAATTCTCAACACTGAAAAATCAGTGTAGGTACAAAAAAATCCCTGAAAATCAGGAATTTCAGGAAAAAATTCCTGATATCGTAGGGCCTGATCTCAATGTTAATTCACATCAACTGATGAGAACTGGTTTGTAACAAAAATAACAGCCTTCAGCTGAGAAATCTTATTACACTGCAAATATCTTCAGCCACCAACATGTTTGTTTAGTTTACGGTGCATAACTTAATATATTTAGAAAGACTTGCAATAGCAAGTCAACATTGGCCTAGAGAGCAATGCGTTGCCAACTCCAGCCTATGCTGTGCCTGTTGTTGCTGACTGTGCTGGTGCTGATGCTGCTGGCACTGGTGATGCTGCTGGCACTGGTGATGCTGCTGGTGCTGATGGTGCCGGTGGTAGTACTGGTAGCGGTGGGGGGGAGTCTGTCAAGTTTTGAAGCACAGAGAGTGTCTGAACAGCATCAGACATGAGTGGTCTTTCTTTGGGGTCCTTTTTCAGACAGTCATATGCCAGCCTGTCCTGCTGGTGCTGCTGATGGTGCTGCCGCTGCTGCTGCTGGTGATGCTGCTGGTGCTGATGGTGCTGGTGCTGATGGTGTTGGTGGTAGTACTGGTAGCGGTGGGGGGAAGTCTGATAATTTCTGAAGCAGAGTGTCTGAACAGCATCAGACATGTGAGAGGTCTTTCCTTGGGGTCCCTTTTCAGGCAGTCATATGCCAGCCTCTGCTGCTGCTGCTGCTGCTGCTGCTGCTGCTGCTGCTGCTGCTGCTGCTGCTGGTGGCGATGCTGTTGGTACTGATGGTGCTGGTAGCGGTGGGGGGAAGTCTGTCAAGTTTTGAAGCACAGAGAGTGTCTGAACAGCATCGGACATGAGAGGCCTTTCCTTAGGGTCTTTTTTCAGACAGTTATAAGCCAGTCTGGCCGCTTTAACCACCCCTTTCACAGAGAACTGGTTCTCCAGCCGTTGATCGACGATCTTCACGAGCATCCGACGGTCGGCAAAGAACGGCGCGGACCACTCCACGATGTTCTGCTGCCCGGGCGGAAAGTTTCGCTCGACTGCCCGCCGCCCGGAGATGATCTCTAGAAGGACAACGCCGAAACTGTAGACGTCAGACTTGGCGGTCAGATGGCCTGGAAGGGGGGGTGGAGGGGAAGGGGAGGGAGGGGGGTGGGGTTGAGGGGAAGTGGGTAGGAAGAGGGTTGCTGAGGCGCCCTCTAGAAGAACAACGCCGAGAAAGAGGGTTGCTGTAGACGTTAGAGTTGGCGATCAGATGACCTGGGGGGGGCGAGATTGAGGGAAGGCGTGTAGAGAAGTGGGACAGGTGGAGGGGAGAAGCAGGGGGGAGGTGGGGGGTTGTGGAGGGATGGGCAGATGGAGTAAGGTGGTGAGAGGTTGAAAAGTGGTCTCACTAACCTGACAACTAGATTACTGTGTGAGATGTGGGATGGGCAGATGGGCTGATGAAGGGAAAGGGGAGTGGGTGAGGGAACAGGGGGTAGGTAGACGGAAATGGTACTTGGTTGGTTGACTGTGGACATTGTACTATCGAACCCAATCGAATCGAATCTACCTGTGAGCATGTACTCGGGAGCAGCATAGCCGTATGTGCCCATGACCCGCGTAGATACATGTGTGGCGCTGCCCACTGGAAACCCAAATCTGATCAAATCGAATCCAATCCATACCTGTGAGCATGTACTCAGGGGCGGCATAGCCGTATGTGCCCATGACCCGTGTCGACACATGTGTGTCGCTGCCCACCGGGCCGTCCTTAGCCAGCCCAAAGTCTGACAGCTTCGCGTTGAACTCCTGAGGAGGGTGGTTGGAGGGGAGGAGGGAGGGAGGGAAGATCAGGAGGGGGGATAGGCCAGAGGAGGAGGGGAGTGGGAAGGGGGAGAGGGGTGGGGGTAACAGAGGATGAAGCAAGAGAATTCAAAGCCGTGAAGTCAAATGGGACAGAGGACATAAATGACCTGGGCGTCCGTCTGTCTCCTAATGCAGGTAGGCCAGCGGCCAGCCCCTTGGCAGCATGCGGGGCCACCTTTGGGTCGACTCCAAAGTACGGCCAGCGGCCAGCCCCTTTGGCACCTTTGTGCCATTGTATTGTAACAAGGTGACTTTTGAGTCGACTCAGGAGTCATCTCGCAACAACACTCACTCACCGTGTCAACGGGAATGTTTGAGGCCTTGAAGTCGCGGTAGATGACCTGCGCTTCTGTCTCCTCATGCAGGTAGGCGAGCCCCCTGGCAGCATGCAACACAGCACACAGTGAAGCAGCAACACCCCACTCACCCTATCCACGAGAATGTTGGAGGCCTTGAAGTCGCGGTACATGACCTGCGCCTCCGTCTCCTCGTGATGACAGAAACACAAGGCAGAGCACCAACTATCCACCAGACCAGACTAACACAGCACAAGCCTCCCCTCCATCACCACTCACCCTGTCGACAAGAATGTTTGATGCCTTGAAATCACGGTAGATGACCTGCGCCTCCGTCTCCTCATGCAGGTAAGCCAGCCCCCTGGCAGCATGCAGAGCTACCTTCATGCGGATGTTCCATGGGAGGGGCGTGACGTTGCCTGTGAGGGAGGGGTTGAAGAGGGAAGTGAGAAGAGAAGGGAGGAAAGGAGAGGGGCGATGTTGCCTGTGAGGGGTGGTTGTTGTTAGGAGGGACGGGAGGGCAGGAGAGGGGAGAAAGCCTCATGGGCCCTGTTATGGCAGCATGCAGAGCCACCTTCATGCGGATGTTCCCGGGGAGAGGCGTGACGTTGCCTGGTGTGGTTGTAAGAGGGAAGGAGGGGGGGAGAGGGCCGAGCATGGATCCATGGGCTCTCTTGTGTGGCACAGGGCACCACATGCATGCACAGCCACCTGCATGCTGTCCTCTGCCCCACACTCACGGTGGAAGAGGTATCTCTCGAGGCTGCCATACTCCATCAGCTCGTATGCCAGCAGCCGCTGCTCGCCCCCCTTCCACGCACTCACACACTGCACACAGTGACCACACGGCCATGTGCCCCATACAATCATACTCACGGCGGAAGAGGTATCTCTCGAGGCTGCCATACTCCATCAGCTCGTATGCCAGCAGCCGCTGCTCGCCCCCTTTCCACGCACTCACACACTGCACACAGTGACCACACGGCCATGTGCCCCATACAATCATACTCACGGCGGAAGAGGTATCTCTCGAGGCTGCCATACTCCATCAGCTCGTATGCCAGCAGCCGCTGCTCGCCCTCCATGCAGTACCCCACTTACCAGGCACTCATGTGACTGCCATATGCCCCATACAGTCACACACACACTGCGTATAGTCACACACTCACGTCTGAAGAGGTACCGTTCGAGGCTGCCATACTCCATCAGCTCATATGCCAGCAGCCGCTGCTCGCCCTCCATGCAGTACCCCACCAGCCGCACCAGGTTGGGGTGCCCCAGTGCTCCTAGGTACCTCACTTCGGTCTGAGGGGGTGGAAAGGGGAAGGGAGGATGGGATGGGAGGATGGGGCGGGACGATGGAGAGGAGGTTAGGGCAACGGGTTGCCAGGTGATCCCCCTCCATGCAGTACCCCACCAGCCGCACCAGGTTCGGGTGCCCCAACGCTCCCAGGTACCTCACTTCGGTCTGAGGGGGTGGGGGATGGGATGGGAGGATATGGAGGAGGTTGGGTTGGAGCAACGGGTTACCAGGTGCTCGCCCTCCATGCAGTACCCCACCAGCCGCACCAGGTTGGGGTGTCCCAGCGCTCCTAGGTACCTCACTTCGGTCTGAGGGGGTGGGAGGATGGGGTGGGGGGAATGGGGATGGGATGATGGGATGGGAGGATGGGGCGGGAGGATGGAGAGGAGGTGAGCACAACGAGTTACCAGGTGCTCGCCCTCCATGCAGTACCCCACCAGCCGCACCAGGTTGGGGTGTCCCAATGCCCCCAGATACCTCACTTCGGTCTGAGGAAGTGGGAGGAAAGGAAGGGAAGAGACGAAAGAAGGAGGGGATGAGAGGGAGATACAGAATCACTTCACCCCCCTCCATGCAATGCAAGTACCCCACCAGCAAGCGGCTTTCTTAACAGATTCCTCCATCCTCCCATCACCAGTAACCCCACACTCCAAAGCCATTCCTATCCCACCTCACACCTCAAAACCCACTCTCATCCCACTCCACCCACTCACACCGCGCACTCACCACCCACTCCGCCTCGCCCTGGTAACCCTCCTGGTTCAGCGCCTTCACAGCAACTTCCTCTATCTTCCCTCCACCGACATGCACCCTCCCCTTGTGCACGCTCCCGAATCCCCCCTCCCCAAGCTTCCCCTCCCTGCTGAACCCGTTAGTAGCCTCGAACAATTCGTTATAAGAGAATTGAAGCAGAGTCGCGGCTATCTGCACGCTCCCAGGCGTCCCTCCCTGGCTGCCGAAGCTCGCAGTCTGGCTCGGGCCGACGCTGGAAGTATGGCTGAGGCTCGGACTCGGTCCTTGGCTAGACTCCTGCTGCGGGACCGCTTCCTGCTGCGGCTGCTGATGTGGCGGCTGCTGATATTGAGGCTGCTGATGTGGCGGTGGCTGATGTGGCACCTGCTGATATGGCGACTGCTGATGCGATGGCTGGTGGTGCGGCGGCTGCTGTTGTGGCGACAGCTGAAATGCGGGTGGCTGACGTGGCGACAGACGGGGTGATCGAGAGTCATTACGTGGCACACCACCAGGCGCCGCGCTCTGCTGCTCACCGACTGCCCCGCTGTTAACTGCCCCGCTACTAACTGCCCCATTACCAAGCCGTTCCGCGTCGGAACCCCTTTGGTCGGCACCCACGCCCACGTTACCCGCCGGCTTGAGACCTAAAATAACGTCCACGGGAGCTACAGTGTACTCGTGCGCTGCTTCGGACTCTCCGCCGCCCAGCGACGAGCCTCGGGATCTCCGTGCCGCCCTGCCAGCTCGAGGGGAGGCTTTTGGGGCTGGCGCATCGATACAGAGGATTCGGGCGCGGTGGGATGGGGCAAAGGGGAGGGACGAGGAAGGGGACGAGTAAGTGTGAGTTTCTCAACGCTTGGTAGTGCACTCGTCAATTTATTACGTGCTTGGGGACTAAGAATTTGCTCATACATCATACTTCATTCGTAATTAACTTCTACTCGACATAAGAAAGAAAGAACGGAAAAAAAATCACAGACACTTAGACTCGGTCGTACTTCTACCGTCAACGCTCTTCACTCTGAAGCACTCAATTATGTTACTAGATGTTCCAATATGGAAAAGCCATACAGTGACTGCCACGTCGTTGCCTCCAACGTACCGGGAGAGCGCGGCTTTTTACTTTGCCGCGGAGATAGAGGCTCTTCCTGTATGGAGAAACATCCCCCCATCCTGATTCCTTTGCATGAATTGCAGTTATTTCACGAATAGAAAAGGGTCTGCGGCCATTATTGGATCAAGGCTCAAGAGCCTGGATTTTCTCGAGTGATTCCGAATGCAAAGCTCCAGAACCTAAGTCTGCTCGCTTCAAACGGCGACTTTCGAGTTAATTAAATTTTAAATACTCTGGAGAATAGGGCTGCTCACACGCAGCGCGGACAGTAACTCACTAGCAGGTAACGCACGCGAAGCAGCAGAGAAGAGTTCGCCACAAACTAAATGCAGATAGAGGATTTGAATGAAAGCCAAATAAACTGGATGCTGGAAGACGGTGTGAAATATGCTTTCCGTACCTGGACAACAGCTATACAGTTCAACGAGGGAGGAGGGAGGGAGGGAGGGGGACTAGCTAGACAGGTAGGAGGAGTCAGGTACGGGTAACGGGACTCCCCTGAGTTCCCCGATTGTGATTTTGGGTGTGCTGCTGTACACGAGCGGCAGCAGCTGACCGTGGCCCAGCTGGACCTCGATTTGATGATTCAAGACAAACTCGAGAGGGGCTTTGAAATTGGTTCGGTTCCTGTCGGACCGGGCTGGCTCGGCAGTTCCAAGGCTCCCTAAGTTCCTAGGTTCGGCGTCCATTGAACTTGCCGACCATGACTATAGCGGGGGAACAGCAAGTCTGCTTCTGATGGCCAGCTGGAAGGGATTGGTTCGGGTGTTCGAGAGTTGGGGATTGGGATTCCCAAGGTGTTGGGAGCTGTGTCTAGCATTTCGGCCGGAGCTGGGATTTGGGAGTGGTTGCTGACTGAATCAGTAAAGCACGAATACACTTACTCCGAAAAGGGAACTTATTTGCTCAAACAGCTGTGCAAACTCTACTTTCAACAAAATGGCATGAACCAGAGACCTACGGTATGCCCCTTTATTCACCTTGACTTGACATGTGCCAGGCTCGCTAACACCCACCACTATTTAAACACGGAATTCAGCTTCTCGAGAACAGCAGCATCAGAGCTGCACAGATCACTCAACCAAGCTACCACTGGTCCAATGTCAGGCCGATTTCTACGGAGAGGATTCAGACACTCTGAAGCAATCTTTGTCATTAACTCCAGCTTGTCAGTGGGGTACTCTTCCATCCGCTCGTCTACTATCAACCCGTAGTTTTCATCCTTGATCTTGGGTATTGCCTGCGTATAAGGGTAAGAAGGATATATTTGGCAAAAAGGCATGTAGGCTTCATGTATGGAGACAGAGAGAGATCAAGGTAGCAACAAGAGAACCCCCCCCCCCCCCCCCCCAGCACGACAAGCAAGGAGGTAAGTGAACAGAGCAACCAAGCACATGCGTGTCTTACCCATTGGGCAAGTGTAACAATTTTTACAGTGTTTCGACCCGCCTTCGCTAACACCTCTTCTTCCACCACTGGTGGTCGACCCGTTATAAGCTCAAGGATGACAACTCCAACTCTGCAACAAGTTCAAAATATTGAAAACAGTGCATCCAGTAATGCAAGATGTAAGGAGCAGGAAAGAGTTCAATGAATTGCATAACACTACGAGGTGGTGGTTTCAATACATGGTGGGGTGTCATGATCTCGTTCCCTACTAACAAATCGCACTTAAAAACACACACCAGAGGATGACTACAGTTTCAGCCCAATAAATGCCAGTGTCAATACACCATCGCTCAAAACCCGGAAGCCGCAGGAAAAGCATGTTCTCACTCCCACATGAGAGCACGCAAATGGAAACTCACGCAAAGATCTCGGCCTTGGTAGTGACGAAGAAGGTTTGGCAGTATTCAGGATCCAGGTACCCCTTCCTCCGCTGCACGCGCACTCGGCTCGACTCCCCCGGCAGGTGCTTGCGTGTTCCCAGCCCTCCCAGCTTTGCCTGTCACACACACATGCCATACATTGCCGCAAGCGCACACAAGGGTGGTTCAAGTCAAGGCTGCAGTTGACTTGCATTGACTTGCATTGACCAGGGATGGTTGATGCCTTGATGTCACGGTCAAGGATCTCCAAAGTTATGAATAAAGTCGAATGTGATTACCTCTGTTGACTTTCTGTTGACTTTCATTGACTACCGTTGACTTGCGTTGACCAGAGGGGCTTGACTCACATTGAAATTCTCATCCAGCAGGATGGTCTCAGTCTTGATGTCACGGTGCACGACGGGCTTGGGCTGCGAGTGCAGGAATTCCACAGCGCGTGCCACGTCAGCAGCGATCCTCACGCGCTGCTCAAACGTGAGTGGCGGCCGGGACACTGTAGTTTAGAGGGATGTGGGGACGATGGGGGAGGAGAAGAGGGAGGGAGTGAGGGGAGGACAGAGAGGGGGGGAAGGGAACGTGTGGTGTGGGGAAGGGAAGGCTTCACAGGACAACAGAACTAACATATCCAGCAACTTGCAATGAGCTGATACTCACCAGCGGCATCTGCAGGCGGGCGCAACCAGGAAGCGAGCGAGCCGTGCTGCATGTGCTCGAATATGAGTATCTGCTCGCTGCCCTCGTCGCAGTAGCCCACGAGGGGCAGCAGGTTGGGATGGCGCAGACTCGTGATTAGCATCACCTGGCAGGGGGGAAGGGGGTGGAGGCAGGAAGGGGGAGAAGGGGGGAGGAGAGAGGAGAGAGGAAGGGTGGGAAGGTAAGCAGAGACAGGAGGGCGCAGCCAGGAAGGCAGTGAGCCAGGACGCAAGCGAGGGAGGCGTGGAGCCCCCCCATCCCTGTTGGCTAGAATCCCCGTGGAGGCTAGAATCCCCACCAGCGGCGCACCTCTCTGAGGAACAGCGCCTGGGTCTCGGGCTGCGGCTGCTTGCACCGCTTGACCGCCACGTCCCGCCCGTCGCGCGCGCTCCCGCGCAGCACCACGCTCTGGCCCTCCGCTTCGATCACGCGCTCCTGCGCGAACTGCGCCGTGGCTTCCGCCACGTCCGCCAGCGACCACTTCTCCGCCCGCGCGCGCGGGATTTCCGCGTCGTCGTCGTCGTCGGTTCCGCCGACCACGTGGACCGCGCCTTGCCGGGGCTTCATCCTTCCGCTGCTGAGGTTGCGGGTGGTGGTGATAACGGTGGTGGGCTTTGCGGGTGCGTCGGTGTCTTCCAACCGGGCTGCTCCTGATAGGAAAAGCGGAGAGGAGGAGAGGGGAGGGGAGAATGAGGAGATGGAGGATGCATGCATGCATTGGTACCGAAAGCTGATAGAATTAACTGGGTTGGGTTGGGTTGGGAGGGGCACGAGCAGAGCAGGAAAAGATGGGTTTTGAGACGTCTCAAAACCACACTTCTTTCAAGATGGGGTTCAACGTAACCCTGAGCTCTCCGGGATATCCTGTTTCGACAACCATTCCAACAATACGAAGCATCTCACTCGATCGGTCGAGCAGCATCTTGATGCCGAGCGCAAAGAGCGCGACAAGGAGCGGCGCGATGACTTTTGTCGACTTAAATCTCTAGGCGTGAGCATCTGTGAGTGTAAGCATCTCACTCGATCGGTCGAGCAGCATCTTGATGCCGAGCGCGAAGAGCGCTACGAGTAGCAGCGCCACCAGGACGGAGATGATAATTGTGGCAGCTGGGATTACAAACATCGCACGGAGGTGATGGAAGAGAGATGAAAGAAAGAGGGAAGAATGAGAAAGATATAGCTACTACGAGACGAGATTCGCCGCACGGGATCAGGCAGCGTCGAAAAAGGAGAGAGTACCTCCAAGAAGACTCCAAAACGGAAAGCAGACCAAACTGTTAAGAAGCCCCGTTACTGCCTGTTAACGCAGTGTCCGAAAACGGGAGAACTTACTGTTTGTACTGGAGAGGAGAATCCGAGGTTGCGGCCGACCTGCAGTGCGACCGAGGGGGAGCAGGAGGTTGCGGATACAGTCGTTGTCTTTCGGGTAGCTCAACGAAATGTAAGTAACAAGGAGTTGAGTTTCTGAGGTGCCTAATGAAAAGCAGCGGTGTAGCTGAAAGTTGTTGCTTTTTGGGATAGTAACTTCTGTCAAACGAGATTACGTCTGACACGGCGTTCGACTTGGAGGCTGTGTTACTCCCCTAGTTCTTCGGCCGTCATCAATGCATGGAGGAGATATAAGCAGATGAGTGGAATGGACTTAACTTCTTAATGTTGCTTTGTTATGTACCTGCTCTGGCGACGCCTGCATTCGCGAGTGCGACGAATGCGACTGCCATGACGGCGTCGCACAGCAGCGACAGTAGTTTTGGAGATTCGGACGATGACACCCTCCAAAGCTCCATTCGCTTCAACAGCCCCATTCCCTCGTTCCCCTTTTCGCGATATGCTGTATGCTCTTAGTCTCTAAACTTTCTACGACGAATGTTTTCTGAGCTAAAAAAATGGAATCCTTTGGTGTTGTTGCTACCGTCGTCTTATGAAGGATTGGTGGCTGCTAGCACCCGTTTCCTTCTCGCGACTGCTGGTCGCGACCTTGCTGAACCATTTACGTTCTTCGGCTCAATAAATAGAATCGAGTAAGTCGGAGAACAGGCTGGGATCGCGCAAGGTCGAGGAGAGGAAGAATGATGAGTGAAAGCGACAGGTGTGAAAGACCAAGAATGATGCACAGGACAGGACTTTGAAAACGGCAGGGAGGATCAGCGGGTGATGGAAATTCATGGGAGCAAATTCAGAAGGACCTCCACCAAAACTGAATGCACAACACGCGTGGAATCGCGGATGTGGCATGGCCAGAAGCAAGAAATTCCTCCTTCCTCATCTGCGACAATTATTGTGGGCGTTTCAGCACCGCGCATCTTGCGCTGGACATTGCACATGCGCTTCGAAAGTCCAACCACGCACCGCGCGGCTGGCAATTGGTGGATTGAACTTTCGCAGCCGGAACTTTCGAAAGCAATGGCGAGAGGAAGTGCAGCCCAATAATTTCCTAGTGCACCTGTTCTGGTGTTGGTGACGGGGCCAATAATTGCGGGGACATGGCCTGGCTACCCGTCATTGCAGAAATATTGCAGATTGCGGATTCTGTATAATGTAACGATGGTTCACGAAACATATTCCTGGCCGCGTAACGAAGTTTTCAGAAGCGAGAAATATTGTATTGTCACAACCCGCCTGGGATTCAGGATCGGGATTCAGGCTCGGGGGGAATTGGACCCACCTGGATTTCGTATTCTCATCTACCCACCTGAATTTCAGTAGCGAGGAAATTGGTACCCACATGGATTTCATAATCGAGAAAATTGGTATTGGTAATCGAGGAAATTGGTATTGTCATCTTCCCACCTGGATTTCAGTATCGAGGAAATTGGTCCCCCCTGGATTTCATGCTCCCATCCCAGCCCCGGTTTGCTGGTTTAGGTTTGCTTGCAGTAGGAAAATCATGGTGCTCAGATAGGCTAGTCAAGCGGGCCATAGCCTGCGATTGCCACACGGCCGTTGCCGTTTAATTGCGGAAAGTATTGCGTAATTTCATCTCGGTACATGTCATTGAAACTAAACGACTGCGAGGAAACCGCGTGCACGGTCATTTTCGGTTTGCCTTATGCTTGGATAGTCTTCCGCCACTCATTCCTGCTCTATCGTTGACTTGCGTAGTCTGCCAGTAATTGACTCGCAACTTAGAGTGCATCATGGAGGGTAAGGAGACTCAATCTCCTGGATCCGCTCTCCGTCGCTCAGCCAATCACGACGACGGAATAGATCCCTTCGATGCAATCCTAGATGCTGACGACGGCTCCGATGACGCCAGCCCGTCCCTCACGAAATCCCGGCCGTCCAATCTCTTCCGTCCGATCCAGCAGCTCTGGCGACGACCCGTCGTGCGATTCGCCGTCGCACAGATCTTCATCGTCTGGGCTGTCGCAGCGTCGGTTCTTTACATCCAAGATGTCGCAATGTCGCACGAGGGGTCGCTACAACACAGCGACATTTCAGGTCTAGGTGCTGGCAGCGGCCTCGGAGCCGCCGGTCAAGCAACCTTATTGGAGCAGCTTAAAAAGCGGTTTCACGAACGTTGTCCCATGCGCCCACCAGTGTGCCGGCCCAGGATTGACCTGAAGGCGGTCGCGCATAGCGCGAAGCACTACTACGCGCAAGACAAGCCCGGGGACGGGGAAACCGCGGGGCCGGGGGGAAGCACGGGGGGATCCGCGGACGGGAAGAATGGGACTAGCGGGGGCGGAGACGGGGCTGGCGGAGCGGGGGATGAGCTTCCGCTGGTGGTTTTCTTTGCGGGGATTGAGGGTTCCGGTCATAAATTCTTCGAGCAGGTGTTCCGGAACATAAAGAAAGTTAACTTCAGTGGTGAGTTCTGAGTCAACTCAAAACTGGGATCAAGGGGTCAATTTCATGGTGATTTGCCTGGGTTCAGATGATGCGAGCGTGTGGCATGGGATCACGTGGCTTAGCATGGCACGAAAGGCGACAAGGATGTTGTGCATTTCCCAACACTCTTGCCTCCATCTCATTTTTGCACACTGCCAGTCACTCGCGCTCACCCGCTCCTCGGCTCGCCCGCTCGCCTGCGCATCCACTCACACGCTCATCCACTCACCCGCTCGCCCAAATACCTCGACCCAATTCCCCAATCACCCGTTCACTAACTCTGAACGTGCAATTCCCTGCCTGCCCGTGCTCTCCTCTGCGCGTCCTGCAGTGGTGGCATTGGAGCCGCTGCTCCACCTCACCTCCTCCACTTACTTTATTCCCCATTCCCCCAACCTCCCCAACCTCCCCTGTCTTGCCGTGCATTTCCCTGCCTGCCCGTGCTCTCCCCCCTGCGCCGTCTGCAGTGGTGGCGTTCGAGCCGCTGCTCCACCTCACCTCTGAGGAGACCCAGACTCACGTGCACGGCGTGGACGCGCGGTGAGTTCAGGTTCAGTGCGGTGATACATGGCTGTGCAGGGGTGCGAGCTGGTTCCGTGTGGTGACTCTGTAAATGGAGTGCAATTCATTGTGATTCTCGCCTTGCTTCTTGACTCCTCCCCCCACTCCATCCCTCTATCCCGCCTCTGTTTTGGGTCGACTCAATTGTCACCTCAGCCTGTTCCACCCCTCGTCCGTTTGATCCTTTCTTTTCTGCTCTAACGCCACGCCTGTCCCGCCCTTTTCTGCTCCGCCCTTCGCCTGTCCCCCCTTATCCCTCCCCCCTGCTCCGCCCCTCGCCTGTCCCCCCGTTCCCCTCAGCTGTCCGCGGCTGCCCTACGCGCGCCCCCTGCGCGCCCCCTATGTGCTCCTTCTGAGTCTCCCCTTGTGTGCGCCTCTGCCCCTTCTTCCCACCCTCTCTCCACCCCCCACTTTTCCCCTCAGCTGTCCGCGTCTGCCCTACGCGCGTCCCCTGCGCGCCTATGCCAAGGAGATGGCCGTGCGACTGGCTGAGACTGGCAACGGTATGTTGGCGCCGGGGGGGTGGGTGGGTGGGTGGATGGGTGGGTGGGGGGGTGGCTGTGTTGGTGGGTGGGTGGGCTGACGGACTGATTTCCCCCGTTTTTCGTGCCCAATCCCCCCTCCTCCCTCCGTTTCTCTCCCCTTCTCATTTCCACTCCCCCGTCTTCCTTTTCCCCATGTCCTTTTGTGTCTTGTTACACACTTTCTAAGGCGCCTCAAAATTCCTTTCAGCCATACCCTTCTGTTGGTCGTCCTCACCTCTCCCCTCACCCCTCCCCCCTCTCCTCCTCCATCCGTCCCACCCCCACCCACCCACACATCAGCCGCGTACCTGCGAGCCCGGGACTCCTACCCTCTGGGCCGGGTTCGGACGCCCTTGGCTCGGCCGGACCTAGTGCACATGCTGCAGCTGGACGGGCTGCTCTTCAACCTCAAGGTGGTGGTGATTTCCCGAGGACTCCCTGACGCCGTGCGATCCGCCTACCGCATGGGCTACCATGGGGGCGACTTGGGCCTGCAGGTGAGAGAGATTCCCCTCACACACTCGGCAACACTTAGTGCTCCACGAGGGCTCCCTGATGTCGTGCGATCCGCCTACCGCATGGGCTACCATGGGGGCGACTTGGGCCTGCAGGTGAGCACCATCGTTTTTTCTCAAACTCATTTTTATCTGATGAGATGGTGTTTCTAGACACCACCATGCGCATGATCCTCATGTCTCCATCACCCTCATCTTCCCCCACGGGCCCACCCTCCCATGCTCCCTGCCTCTGCCCCCCCGTCCTCACCAGGTGCGCATAGTGGAGGACGAGATGGTATTCCTCGACACCACCATGCGCATGACAGTGGATAGGAAGATGCCCACTCACTCACACACTCGCACACTACCTGCCCCCCCTAAACCCTTCTCTCGCACACCCTCCCAACACCACCACCAGTTGCGCATAGTGGAGGACGAGATGGTGTTCCTCGACGCCACCATGCGCATGATCGTAGTGGGTAGTATGATGCCCACTCACTCACACACTGCCCTCTTTCCATCCACCCCCCCTCCCCCTCCCCCTGCCCCCCCCCTCCCCCCTCCAGGTGCGCATAGTGGAGGACGAGATGGTGTTTCTAGACACCACCATGCGCATGATCCCCTGCAGCAAGTACATCGTGCTCGACTTTGACTGGGTGGCTGATAGTCCTGAGGTAACTATATTCACATGCATCTGTCATGGTTCACATGTGGTAGCCACATGCATGATCCCCTGCAGCAAGTACATCGTGCTCGACTTTGACTGGGTGGCTGACAGCCCCGAGGTAACCACCTGATTGGTAACCACCTGATTGGTAACCACCTGCATGATCCAACACACCTGCCTGGTTGATCCTCCTCTCTTCCCTGTTTTTGCCACCTCCCTTTCTCTGTTGCAATTGTTGAGGCTCCTAAAAAACCAGCTCCCTCTCTCTGCAGCCAAAAACCCATCCCTTTCATTTCCCCTGTTTCTCCAACATCTTTTTATTTCTTTCCTTCTTCCTCCCTTTCTTTATTTGTTATTTCTTTATGTCGCCCAGCTTGTTGCAGAGCCTCTGGCAGTCTTTCTTGGGATGGGGTTGGCAGCAGAGGATATAATCGCCGGGGTAAAAGGCGCCGCTCAAACCAAGCCCAAGCACCAAACAGAGTATCCTGAATTCGGCGGGCAGGCACTCGACGAGTTTTTTTCGGTTCGGGCAGACATGTGGCCGCTGTTACTGGCTTGTCGGTCGACTCCTTTTTTCCGCCCGCTGCATCCACGGGATTGGCCGATCACGCACTCGGAGCTGGCTGGGGTCATGGAGAGAAGGCAAGGGTATGATTATGATTAATCAGCGGCGGAGAGCAGTGTACACTACCTGAAGACGGGTTTCCAATATAAAAAGTGAACGTGTTAGGGATAAAAGAAAACAAATGGTATGGATCAGGCCTTAATGGAAAAAAATGTATACATCTGTTCTGTAGATGTTAATGTTTCTGTTACGAATGGGGGTCGGCTGTTGTAGGTTCACCGATCAAGTCCACACCTGGTCCAAGAGCGCGCCTGGTCCAAGTGCGCGCCTGGTCTCAGTTTAATCTAAGAGGGGCGTTTTATCCATCGGAGGCGATTACCGGAGGCGTTTAATTCAGTGGAGGGGTTTAATCCCAGGGGGGTTTATCCAGGGGGACGTTTAGTCCAGGGGGGCGTTGATAATCTGGATATGGTCGACGTGATTTCTAGACTAACCAAGTAGACAACAGGTTATATTTTGTACTTGTACAAGTGAGCATAAATAAGATCGGGGGAGCTGGTAGTGAAGTATCCCGCGTATAATATGAGAAAATCTGCGCTTCGTCAGCGCTTTGGTGCCGACCGACGGCCGAATCTCGAAAACTTTGAGTTGCTCCGTTGCCATTCGCTAGCGACATGCTTGTGGGGAGGGACCACAGAAATCCCCTTCTCGCATCCGTCCTGCTGTGACGCATCCTTGCTGACAAAGTCAAGTCAGCCTGGCAGCATCCTCCAGGCCGTCCCTGATGATGCTGTTGTTGATGGTGCTCTTGGCCACGCTGATCGCCCGCCTCATGAGATCCCAAGGTTCATTCCGTTCGCCCCTGCCAAATTCCTCTCTTCACTGGCTCCCTTGAGTTCAGCGTAGCTGATGCTGACTTTCATGGTTTCCTCAGCTTGCCATGGCTGCTGTCGAAATCCCTCGCGGGTGCTGCTTATCATAGACTACGATCATTACTTATTGTTCAGTATAGCCATGAGTGCAATAGCATATTTCGATAAGGCTGTTTCATCATCATGCTGATCTAGATATTGATACGATTTAGTTTATGAAGCCTGAATATAAACCGTACTGCTTAGCTCGGAAGCTTGGTTCTGGTGATTCTTAACCTCGAAATCTAAAGCATCTCCATCGTTCTGGTTGTCGCGAATCCTGATTCCGTTACTTCAAGTATCTAGATTTTGATAGGCTGATTTTCAACCGCTTATGACGTCTCGGCTCAGCAACGATATCCCTTTCAATAAGGATCTCCACCGCTTTAGACGGCGCGTATGTTCCGATTTAGCTTCGTTTTGAGATAGCCGAATCTGTCATCATGATACGTGAAGCACGTCAATCGACGCTAGCGCGTTATGCAGCAGCGTTCCCGATCATCAGTCTCAGGAATGACATTCGAAGTGCTTTCAGCATCTCAGGCGATACCAGAAGCATTACCAGGCAGTCCCGTAAGCGCATTCAGGCAGTACCGCCGGAACTACGGAGTCTTAGTAGTACCTCACCAGTGAGTCTCTACGAGAGTACCTGCTGGAGCTTCAAAGCTAGCGTCGCTGATCTTTAAAGCTCCGTAGTCACCGTCGCTGCTGTGCTAAGCATCGACCGTCGCTGCTCCGCTGATCCACAGCAACCGTCGATCATCCGCTGAGCTCCATAGCAACCGTCGCTGATCTGCTGAGCTTCGTAGCTATCGTCGCGTGCAAGAGTGATCCATGACAAGCGATGACGTTGCTGCTCACGGATGGTTCAGCCTGTGGATCTCTAGCAGCAAGGCGACCGGCGTCACGGTGACTCACGACGACACAATGAGCAGCGAAAGGTTAGCGTCGAATAGCCTTATGGCTGGTAGCATCGTGCGACGATCGGCCAGTGGCGGTATTGGGGGATTTCGAATCTCGAAACAGCGGGTGAAGACTGCCTAACGGCGGGAGGCGAGATGGTTAAGGACGAACAGCGAGCGGCTAGCAATGTGCAATGATCGGCGAGCGCCAATTGGCGAATGGCGATTCATTCGAACGTTGAGCGCCATGCGAGCGGCGAACAGCGAACAGCACGCTATACAGCGTGCGCGTGAGGAGGGGTGGCGAGATATGGACTGCGAGTCGCTGTCACACCGTGAGTCGCTGTCACGCCGTGAGTCGCTGTCACGCCGTGCTTGGCGCTGGTGATGAGGTGCACCACTTTTGACGGCCAAATGCGTGCGACGTTGAGGATACTGGCGACTTACGCATGCGATGGTGGCGGATGATAGCGACCAACCGCATGCGACGGTGTGCGGAATGGCGAGTTACTGCGTGAGACGCTGTGCGGAATGGCGAAGAGCTGGGTGCGACGATGTGCAGAATGGCGACGCGACGATGTGCGAAGTGCGACGAGCTGCGTGCGTCGTCCTGTGGAATCATGACTTACTGCACGACGGCGTGCGGAATGGCGAGTTGCCACGTGCGACGGTGTGCGGAGTGGCGACTTGCTGCGTGCGACGGCGTGCGGGACGGCGGCTTTCTGCGTGCGATGGTGTGCGGAACGGCTACGCAGCTGCTTGCTGCTGCCAATTTCAGCCTCTACGCTTCTCCATAGCTAAGTTCCCTCTCCGTCCCCCGCCGTTCTCCAGTGCTCCCCATCCGTCTCTTTCACTCTTGCAAATCTCAAGATACATTCGTTTCTTGGCGCATGGTGGTGGTGGTCCATGGTGCTATGGCAGCAGAGCTCATGTAGAGTGCAGTGTAGTGGGAGTGGTGGGAGAGATTAGTGGGAGAGGGAGTGCATTCATGCCATGCGCGCGTCCCTCTCTACCCCAGTCCCCCCTCGCTGGCTCAGCTCGCTGCTCTAGTGCCGTGGGCCACTGTCGCCATGCGCCTTCCCCGTTGCCCCTCCCCCTTCCCCCCACTCCTCCCCCCTCCCTCAACTCGATTATCGCTTACGTTTAAGTTGCGAGTTTCTCAGTCTTGCTCTCCACTGCTTCTGCTCTATTGCCCGCCTTGACCTGCTTTCTGCCCACATCTGAGTTTCTTCCTCCAATGTTACCCTGTTCCTTGCTGCGCTTGCTGCTGCACTCATTCAGAATATATTGCCTGACCTCTTCCCGAGGCCATTCCTTCTTTCTGCGCGACGGCGACGGTGTGCGGAACGGCGACTTGCTGCGTGCGACGGTGTGCGGAGCTGCGAAGCTGCTGCTTGCTGCCGCTGCCTTGGACGAGTCACTTTCAGCCTCTTCGCTTCTCCTTAGCTAAGTTTCCGCTCCGCCCCCCCCGTCCTCCATCGCTCCCCATCCGTCTCTTTCACTCTTGGCAAATTTCAAGGCTCATTCGTCTTTTGGCGGATGGTGGTGGTGGTCCGTGGTGCTATGGCAGCAGAGCTCATGTAGAGTGCAGTGTAGTGGGAGTGGTGGGAGAGAATAGTGGGAGAGGGAGTGCATTCATGCCATGCGTGCGTCCCTCTCTACCCCAGTCCCCCCTCGCTGGCTCAGCTCGCTGCTCTAGTGCCGTGGGCCACTGTTGCCATGCGCCTTCCCCGTTTCCCCCTCCCACCACTCGTTTCTCGTTTCCCTCCACTGTTCTAATTCGTACCTTGACCTGCTTTCTGCCTGAATCAGAGGTTCTGCTTCCAATGCTTTCCCATTCCCTGTCATGCTTGCTTATTCATTCATTTTGAGTTCATTGCCTGCCCTCTGCCATAATCTCATTCATTCGCATCTCCTTCTCGTCATCCCTTATCCCCCCATCCCATGCATCCTCTGGCATCAGGGGGAGTGGAGTGCAGGCGAGTGGCGGCAGAGCAGCAGAGCAGTGGCTGCAGCAGCACAGCGGTGACAAGTCCTCATCGCTGCCACTATGGTATGCTATGCATCGCTTTCACTGCACTGCACCTGCTCTCTCCTCGGCTCTTCACGTTCTGTCTATTGCCGCTGGCTTGCACTGGCTGCTCTGGTTGCTCCTCGTGCTTGCACTCACTGTGTGTGGCTCCCTGTGGTACAGGGCGTGGTGGCTCTGTGTGTTGCACGTGCCTTGCTGTTCCAAGGGGAGGCAGCAGAGGGAGGAGGTGCATGGAGGGGCGGCCGTCGGATGATGCAAGCCAGGCACTCACAGTGGTGCCTGCAGCAGCATGGCAGTCAACACAAGTCCCTAAAACCCACGCCCGTGCGATGCCAGTATGCTACGATATGCATCCCTTTCACTGCAGCCACTCTCTCGTTCACTCCTACATTTTACCGCACCCGCTCTTTCTCCTCCATTTCACTGCACTCGCCCTCTCCTTGACACGTCGCTCTGTCTATTCCTGCTGCCTGCTTTCTCTGCTGCGTTCTGTCTGCTCTGCCTGGTGGCTCTTTGTGCTGCACTCACTGTGTCTGGCGTGCTGTGGTAGATAACATGACAGAACTTGCATGACATAACCGCCGCCAGTAGCCCCTCCCTCCTCCCTCCTGCTCCTTCTTGCTTCCTTCTCCTCCTTCCCCCTCCATCCTGCTCTTTCCCTTTACCTCAGGTTTCTCGTCGTGCATCCTACTTGCTGCGTGCAATGGTGTGCGGAACAGCGAAGCTGCTGCTTGCGCGCTGCTGCCTTGGACGAGTCACTTTCAGCGTCTACGCTTCTCCTTAGCTACGTTTCCTCTATGTCCCCCGCGTCCTCCATCGCTCCCCATTCGTCTCTTTCATTCTTGCCAAATCTCAAGGCATATTCGTTTCTTGGCGCATGGTGGTGGTGGTGCATGGTGCTATGGCAGCAGAGCTCATGTAGAGTGCAGTGTGGTGGGAGTGGTGGGAGAGATTAGTGGGAGAGGGAGTGCATTCATGCCATGCGTGCGTCCCTCTCTACCCCAGTCCCCCCTCGCTGGCTCAGCTCGCTGCTCTAGTGCTGTGGGCCACTGTCGCCATGCGCCTTCCCCGTTTCCCCTCCCACCACTCAAGTTTCGAGTTACTCACTCTTTCTCTCTACTGCTTCTGCTCTATTGGCCACTTTGACCTGCTTTCTTCCCACATTTGAGTTTTTGCCTCCAGTGCTACTCCATTCCTTGCTGCACTTTCTGCTGCACTCATTCCGAGTTCATTGCCTGCCCTCTGCCCTCTTCCCTGCCCTCTGCCCTCTGCCCGAGGCCAATCGCTTCGCATCTCCCTTCTCGCCGTGGCTTTCCCCCCGTCGGCCAAAGGGGTGCAGGCGGCAGAGCAGCAGCAGAGCAGCAGCAGAGCAGCAGCACGGCAGTCAGTATCAGTCAATGCCAGTCAACTCCAGTCCTCAGCACCGCTGCCATCGCTGCCATTATGGTACGGTATGCATCCCTTCAACTGTACCCGCACTCTCCTTTCATGTTATTCCACCCGTTCTCTCTTTCACTCCTTCATTTCACTGCATCCGCTCTCTCCTTCGCTTCTGTCTGTTGCTGCTGGCTGCTCTCTCCTTGTCCTTATGTCTTCTCCTTGTCTCCGCGCCGTCACAGCCCCCCAGACCAACGGCGCCTCGCCCTCACAACCCCCCAGAGCAGGGGCGCCTCTCCCTCACAGCCCCCCAGAGCAGCGGCGCCTCTCCCTCACAGCCCCCCAGAGCAGGGGCGCCTCTCCCTCACAGCCCCCCAGAGCAGGGGCGCCTCTCCCTCACAACCCCCCAGAGCAGCGGCGCCTCTCCCTCACAGTCCCCCAGAGCAGCGGCGCCTCTCCCTCACAGCCCCCCAGAGCAGCGGCGCCTCCTCCTCACAGCCCCCCAGAGCAGTGGTGGCTCCATTGCTGCACGGGCCTTGCTGTTCCAAGGGGAGGCAGCAGAGGGAGGAGGCGCATGGACGGGCGGCAGTGGGATGACTAATGGCCGGCACTCACTGCGTGCCCTGCTGACCGCTGCTCACCACCGCATGCGCTCATGCACGGAGGGGGAGTGGGGGGCAATGGGAACTGGAGGGTCAGGGAAGTGCTCCCTCCTTACCTCCTGTAAGTTTCTCTAATTGGCATGTCGTTTTGATGTTGTTGCGGTTGTATTTCCTTTGTGTCCTCGTCCTTTTTGCCTCGTCCCTTGTCCTTCTGTCTTTGCATTCTGGCTTCTTCTTGATTTCTTCACGCCCTTTCAAAGCCCCACCCAACAACTCGCCGTCACTTTTGGCTTGTCTCCTCCTTTTTGCTTGCAGGGGAACACACTAAGCAGCACCACCATCGGTGTGTGGCGACCTACAGAGTGGGGCGTTCTGCTTGCGGCCGTGTGCACTAGACATCAGCCAACCAATGGCACGCCATGCTCATCTGATGGTGGCGGGGAGCTGCGAGGGACGCTGCTGCTTGCTGCTGTCGCCCGGGAGGATTTGTGCTCCTCTGGACGACTCACTTTCTGCGTCCACGCTTCTCCTCTAGCTAAGTCTTCTCTCCGCACACCCGTCCTCCCCTCCCTTTCTCCTTCGCTATCCCCATCTCTCCCTTTCTCCTTTCACATTTGTCTCTTGGCGCATGGTGGTTGTGGTCCGTGGTGCTATGGCAGCAGAGCTCATGTAAAGTGCAGTGTAGTGGGAGTGGTGGGATAGAGTAGTGGAGAGGGAGTGCATTCATGCCATGCGTGCGTCCCCCAGTCCCCCCTCGCTGGCTCAGCTCGCTGCTGTAGTGCCGTGGGCCTCTGTCGCCATGCGCCTTCCCTGTCCCCCCTCCGCCCCCCTCCCACCACTCAAGTTTCGAGTTTCACACTCTTGCTCTCTACTGCTTCTGCTCGATTGGTCACTCTGACCTGCTTTCTTCCCATATCTGAGTTTTTGCCTCCAATGCTACTCCATTTCTTGCTGCACGTTCTGCTGCACTCATTCCCAGTTCATTGCCTTCCCTCTGCCCTCTACCCTCTTCCCTCTGCCCTGCCCTCTGCCCTCTGCCCTCTACCCTGCCCTATGCCCTCTGCCTCTGCCCGATGCCAATCTCTTGACATCTCCTTCTCGCCGTGCCATCTCCGCCATGCATCCTCAGGGCGAAGGGGTGCAGGCGACGAGCAGCAGCAGAGCAGCAGCACGGCAGTAAGAATCAGTCAACGCCAGTCAACTCCAGTCCCCGGCACTGCTGCCGTTATGATACAAGCAAGCCCGGAGGGGCGGCAGTGGGACGATGCAAGCTCGGCACGCACAGCGGTGACTGCAGCAGCATGGGCAGTCAACACCAGTCCCTAAATCCCACGCCTGTGCCATGCCATTATGGTACGATATGCTTCCCTTTCACTGCAGCCACTCTTTCCTTCGCTCCTACATTTCACTGCACCCGATCTCCCCTTTCACTGCACTCACGCTCTCTTGGCTCTTCGCTCTGTCAATTGCTGTTGCTTGTTCTCTCTGCTGCGTTCTGTCTGCTCAACCTGGTGTCTCTTTGTGCTGCACTCAATGTGTCTGGCTTGCTGTGTTACATGGCATGACAGAACCCGCATGACCCTCCTCCTCACAACCCCCCATAGCAGCGGCGCCTCTCCCTCACAACCCCCCATAGCAGCGGCGCCTCTCCCTCACAACCCCCCATAGCAGCGGCGCCTCTCCCTCACAACCCCCCATAGCAGCGGCGCCTCTCCCTCACAACCCCCCATAGCAGCGGCGCCTCTCCCTCACAACCCCCCATAGCAGCGGCGCCTCTCCCTCACAACCCCCCATAGCAGCGGCGCCTCTCCCTCACAACCCCCCATAGCAGCGGCGCCTCTCCCTCACAACCCCCCATAGCAGCGGCGCCTCTCCCTCACAACCCCCCATAGCAGCGGCGCCTCTCCCTCACAACCCCCCATAGCAGCGGCGCCTCTCCCTCACAACCCCCCATAGCAGCGGCGCCTCTCCCTCACAACCCCCCATAGCAGCGGCGCCTCTCCCTCACAACCCCCCATAGCAGCGGCGCCTCTCCCTCACAACCCCCCATAGCAGCGGCGCCTCTCCCTCACAACCCCCCATAGCAGCGGCGCCTCTCCCTCACAACCCCCCATAGCAGCGGCGCCTCTCCCTCACATCCGCCCAGAGCAGCGGCGCCTCTCCCTCACAGCCCCCCAGAGCAGCGGCGCCTCTCCCTCACAACCCCCCAGAGCAGCGGCGCCTCTCCCTCACAACCCCCCATAGCAGCGGCGCCTCTCCCTCACATCCGCCTAGAGCAGCGGCGCCTCTCCCTCACAGCCCCCCAGAGCAGGGGCGCCTCTCCCTCACAGCCCCCCAGAGCAGCGGCGCCTCTCCCTCACAGCCCCCCAGAGCAGCGGCGCCTCTCCCTCACAGCCCCCCAGAGCAGGGGCGCCTCTTCCTCACAGCCCCCCAGAGCAGGGGCGCCTCTCCCTCAAGTTTAACGCCACGCCCCACGCCCAACGCCCAAGCCCAACACCCAAGCCCAACGCCCAAGCCCAACGCCCAAGCCCAACGCCCAAGCCCAACACCCAAGCCCAACGCCCAAGCCCAACGCCCAAGCCCAACGCCCAAGCCCAACGCCCAAGCCCAACGCCCAAGCCCAACGCCCAAGCCCAACGCCCAAGCCCAACGCCCAAGCCCAACGCCCAAGCCCAACGCCCAAGCCCAACGCCCAAGCCCAACGCCCAAGCCCAACGCCCAAGCCCAACGCCCAAGCCCAACGCCCAAGCCCAACGCCCAAGCCCAACGCCCAAGCCCAACGCCCAAGCCCAACGCCCAAGCCCAACGCCCACGCCCAACGCCCAAGCCCAACCCCCAAGCCCAACGCCCAAGCCCAACGCCCAAGCCCAACGCCCAAGCCCAACGCCCAAGCCCAACGCCCAAGCCCAACGCCCAAACCCAACGCCCAAGCCCAACGCCCAAGCCCAACTCCCCCCACCCATCGTCTGGCCTTGGGGCGAATTGAGGGCAGGTGGCAGAGCAGCAGAGCAGTGGATGCAGCCATGTCGCGGGCGGTAGATAGCAACATGGCAGTCAACATCAGTCAACAAAATTCAACACCAGTCCTCGGTTCCACGCCCGTGCCTTCACTGCCATTATGGTATGGTACGGTATGCATTCCTTTCACTGCACCCACTCTCTACTTCGCTCTCTTATTGCAGTAGTAGTGGCAGTGGCAGGAACTTAGGGACGTTACGGTATAACACTGCAGTAGTAGAGGCAGTGGCAGGAACTTGGGACGTTATAACACTGCAGTAGTAGTGGCAGTGGCACGAACTTGGGAGTATTAGTGGCAGTGGAAGCAACTTGGGACATCATAACAGTGCAGACTGCAGTAGTAGTGGCAGTGGCAGCAACTTGGGACGGTATAACACTGCAGTAGTAGTGGCAGTGGCAGCAACTTGGGACGGTATAACACTGCAGTAGTAGTGGCAGTGGCAGCAACTTGGGACGGTATAACACTGCAGTAGTAGTGGCAGTGGCAGCAACTTGGGACGGTATAACACTGCAGTAGTAATGGCAGTGGCAGCAACTTGGGACATTAGAGCTAGTAGTGGCAGTGGCAGGAACTTGCCTTGCAACACCCAGCACCACCCACGGTTATTGCTACACACTTGCCTTGGTATTGTGTTGGACAGCGATGGGGGCGTGACAAGACTAGGCGTGTGCGCTGGAGTGTGACAAGGCGTGTGAGCTGGAGTGTGACAAGGCGTGTGAGCTGGAGTGTGACAAGGCGTGTGAGCTGGAGTGTGGCAAGGCGTGTGTGCTGGAGTGTGACAAGGCATGTGAGCTGGAGTGTGACAAGGCGTGTGAGCTGGAGTGTGACAAGGCGTGGGCGCTGGAGTGTGACAAGGCGTGGGCGCTGGAGTGTGACAAGGCGTGGGCGCTGGAGTGTGACAAGGCGCGGGCGCTGGAGTGTGACAGAGCGTGCGTGTGTGCTGGAGTGTGTCGACAAGGCATGTGTGCTGGAGCGTGACAAGGCGTGGGCGCTGGAGTGTGACCTACGCAGGTATGAATAGCGCATTTGCTCATTTTCGATCTGCTTATTTGCTCATTTGCTTTTGTAAGAATGCCACTAACTACACTCTACCCATCTGCAGTCAAGGCATCCGAGAGCTCTACAAAGGATCGTCCCCTCCTAAGCTCCCATTGGTCAACCACCTCCTTGGCAGCCAGCAGAGCAGATCTCAGCTCCCCCAGGTGCACCTCTGTGACCACCTTATCTCGTATGCATGGTCTGCAAGCCGTGACTGTGTGACACTTGGCGGGCTGTCATTGGCTGAAGCCGTTGGCGTCTAGACAGTACTCTGTGTAGGTGGAGAGGTTGCGATGCTCGTTGCGCCACATGTAGTAGTGCACTCCCCAGCGCAGTGCGATGCTGGAGAGGACGGGAGGGAAACACAGGTGGATACAGTCAGAAAGGCAAAGGAGGAGGGTGTAAAGAGGGAAGTCAGTTGCGCCACATGAAATAGTGCACGCACGGATAGACACAGTCAAGTAGGTAGTGGAGAGGCAGTGGCAAGAAGAGATCACCGTTGGGAAATGGGAAATACATGATAGGAAATGAAGCAGCGCACTGCAAAGCGCAGTGCTATGCTGCAGAGGATGTGAAGGAGACAAATGTAGATGAAGTTACAGGACAAAGAGGGGAGGGGAGGAGGACGTAAAGGGGATGCACAGGGGATGCATAGGGGATGTAGAGAGGGAAGTCACTTGCGCCGCATGAAATAGTGCACTGTGTGTGGCAACTGCCGTGTGATGCTGCAGAGGTAGCCATGTCAAGGAGACAGGGAGGGAGGGGTCAGTGGCATGAAGAAAATACTGTTTAAGAAAAGGGAAGTACGGGATGTAGAGTGTAGGACACGGGCCAACACCCAGACGGGACAAAAACTATCCAAAACCACGATTTCCCCAACCCCACAATGTCCCCAACTTCATCATATTCCCTCTTCCCATTACACCCACCGCGCCATGTTGCCACATGAACGGCATGATCTCCAACGCCCACACCACTGGCACACCACTCCTTTCAATCACCTAACCTGGAGGTTTCAGCCCACATCCCTCTCTCCCTCTCTACTTACCTTAGGAGTTTAAGCCCCCATTCACCTTCCCCACTCACCCACACACCCTAGGGGATTTCAGCCCCCATCCCTCTCTCCCTCTTACCCACTTTATGGGATTCAACTCCCATCCCTTCTCTCTCACCCACCCACCTTGGGGGTTTCCATCCATGCGCCTTGCACACCGCCAGAGGGGCACATCTGTTGATGGAGGTCGGTTGGCGACACATCCTGTTTTTTCCCGCGACACATCCCCCAAGCACCTGTGTTTCCCAACCTGACGCCGCGCACTGTGCCGCAAGGAGGGGAGGCGCGGGGGTCCTGAAAACCCGCGGAAGGCGCGGAAGTGGCGGAAGTCGCGGTGATCTGAGTGACTAGAGCGGCGCGAGTCATCCACATGCGATCTATGCATTCCGGCGCGCGCGTGCAGCCATGGTTTGTTGCTCGATATGCGCGGGCGCGAGTGGAACGAGATCGGCATCAGGGGCTATCAGTGCGAAGGGCCATATCGGCAGGATGAGAGGACGGCATTCGGGAGCCGGAACGTCAGACTGGAGAGTGGGACGACATTCAGCCTGCGGAGTGGGGACGTAAAGCAGTAAGTACAGGACGAGAGAGGATGGCAGGACGTATTGGCGAGGGAAATCATGAGGCGTGAGTGTGAGGGTGCACTGAGGCAGCTAGATGGCATGGCAACTGGTTCTTGATAAGAGGTGCTCCGGTACAACAATGTACGCTACCAACAGATATAGAAATATACCATCAACAACCAGCATTGCGTTATGAGAGTTGAGTGAGGTGGGGTAGAGTGTGGTGAAGTGGGGGTAAGCGGGGTGGAAGGATTTGCTGTTACCATTTCGCTCAAAACAAAAGTTTTCGTTCAAGCATTTGGGAGGGACGATATGATGGGTGCGTGTAACAGAGTCTGTAGATTCGCGTATGCGTATGTGAGTGTGAGTGTGTGTATATATATAGCATCGAAGTCCAGGGGGCCAGACCGTTGGGGGTTTAGGGGAAAACAGGGCGGATATGTTTGTTTGTTTGAATATTTTTTTCTCCCAGAAACAGCCGTTGCAGCCCAGTTGGTTTTTCCACCATGAAGCAAAGGGAGTGCGTTGTGCTGTTCGCCTACGGGATGACGCCAAGCCACACCACCGTGGAAGGTCGGCGCCACAGAGCACGCTTCACTCCACGCCGTTCATAACATCAACACAGTCAAGAGGTGAACCAAACGTGGGGCACAGAATTGAAAGAAAGTTCCATCGAAAGTGCGCGGGTTGTTACCAGAATTGGGACATGCCAATCCACCTGAAATTGTTTCACACTCAAGCAGGACCATTAAGGCACTTCTGTACTTGAAAAAGAGACAAGTAGGATCATATTTACAATAATATAGCTGGTCATTCCAACAAAGGAATTTTAGAAGTACGGACCACATGAAATGTGATGCACAGTCGCATTGTTTTACTGTCGCAGGCTGTTCCCAAAGGGGCACATGCTTCTGTCTTTTCTGTTACTGTGTCGGAGCACGTGGCAATGTGCAGCACGTGGCACCTGTGTTATGAATCATGAAGGAACGCCCTCGCATGATGTCTTTACCGGCGCTGTCCGAAAGCTGCCCCATGGGTGTCGCAAAGTGAGCCGTCGTGTTTCGTACACTAGAGAATCGACAAGGGCGTCCTCGCCGCAGCTTCCTAGACCATGCCAGCTGTAAGACCCAAATCATGCGTCTCACATGACGGACACAAGCATGCAAGCAGAAGTTTCGCTTAGGGCGGGGTGCATCATGCTATTTTGCAGGATCGCGATCTCAAGCGATCCTCACTACAGTGTTTTGTCTTTTGCGCACAGTAACTACTGTAGCATTGCTGCACCACGACCTTGGGGGATCGCGAAAACTGCCACCCAACCACCCTCGATCACGCTGGATCTCAAAGCCTGCGATCCCACGCGATCAAGGGTTGGAGGTGCACCACGTGCACACCGATCCTTCTCGCAAGAAAAATATTGTCGCCGAACAACAAAACGAAAAGAGGGCGAGGTAAATACGAAACGGTTACGGAATAAACGCTGAAACCAAAATGTACAGGCGACGCCTTGACCGCGTCTCATTGGTGGTTGGGGGTCGGGACTGCAAAACTGCAGGTGGTGCATCATAGGGGGGTACCATTGGGTCGCAAGGGACCCCCAGCACGCCCAACCCAACCAGATTCCACAGGGTTGCGGTTCTAATATCGCGATCATGCAATTTCATGCAATTTCAGCATGATGCACCCCGCCCTTAGAGTTTCATTCTTCAACATATGTCCCCCCTGCCTTCTTCTCCAATACTACTGTACACTTGTGTTTGCCTTCTGCTTTGAGGAAATATATCCCAACCAAAATTTTCTTCCCTACAATTTTATGGTTGGTAAGTGTGAACACGATCAACCATCAAACAGTTTGTTCCTTACCAACGGCTAATTTGCTGGGATACGCAGTCAAAACTGAGTGCAAAATTATCAGAATCGGAATCCTACCGAACTCGCAGAATGACCGAAGTCGACCTCTACAGTTTTTCCTCGTCGAAACAGAAACGCACATGTGATTTCTACACAGAACCTGCCCAGACCAGATTTCGTACGTATTTTTCTACACTCCGTGCGGGGTTGGGAGCAAAACAATAGGCAGAAATGTACACACTTAACTTCTACACTTCTGGAATAATCCGAGAGAAAACATTTTCGTTGGAAAGTCATTGTTCTCTTACGACAAAACGGCATTGATAAGCTTGACGCGTCCGACCACACACACTGCCCAGCCGTCAACTTGTCGCCCACTGGGATTGAAGTTTATCATAGCATTCTTGTCCTTTTGTTTGCATGGACAACATCCTCAGTCGCTAGAGTGAGAGCAGCACTGTAGCAGCCGTATGGAACGTGGACGGGTGCACGTGAAGCCGCTCCATCAAGCGCGTCTCAGGTGATCGATCGAGCTTGGCGTGGCAGGCAGCCTTGCTCGGATGAGACGAGGCACATGTCGGTTCGGTTCAGGTGCAATGAGGTGTGGTGCGGTACGGTAGCAAAACGATTTCACCACCAACCCATTGCCCTACCTACATTCCCCTCATCAACCTTTCGGTGTGTTCGGGGGACGGGGAGGCATCGAGGCAAGTCCCGAAGTCCCGCGAGAAGAAGACAGCGATTGGCCGAGCGACCTCCAGGGCCCCACCCACACATCCATTCGTCAGCAACAGTGTCACCACCACGGACTACCCGTCCATCCCTCCCCCTAGTCAGTCACATTCGCGCGGCGGGTGATTTTTTCCCTCCCACACTCATCCCGCAATTCTGTGCGCTTCGACTGTGCTCTTTGCCCCTTTCTTTCGAGTTCACAAATCCCCCCAAAGCCCCCCCCGTCACTCCCAACTCCATAAAGGCCAACCCAGCTGTAGTTCCTCAGCAGTATTCACCCGAACAAATCGTAGCAGATTTGCTTCTGGGAATCCCAGCCTGGCAATTTCACCTTCCCGTCACGACTCACGAACCTTAGGATTGTGCAATCTCTCCCTCCATGGGTGTCAGTCTATCCGAGCTGTTCACGCTGGGCCCTGCGGCAACTCCACGCGAGCAGCGCCCAAATGACTCCGACCTCGCACACCCCGACGCGCTATCCAAGAAACGCAGGATAATTGAAAACCTGAACTTCCCCCCAACTCAAGCCGCATTCGACGCCAATGCGCCCGCGCCGCCGTCCACGCACCCTTTCGCTCCCTCCGCCAACGCCGCCTCCGCCGCCGTCGCCGAAAGCGCGCCCAAGCAGATAGATTTCTTTAAGGCGCGGGAAGACACGGATGCGTTGCCCGGGGCAGAAGAAACTTCCGACGGGCCGTCATTGAGCGATCTGGGAGAGGATCTCTTGTTGAAGATTCTGCAGGAGGGGCAGCCAACAGCATGGGATCTGTGTCGCTACGCGTGCGTGAGCGCCACGTGGCGGAAGCTGTGCTACAGCCGGGTGTTCTGGACGAAGCTGCGCATCGGCCCAGGCAGCATGCATGCGGGTGTCGAGCAATTAGCGCCGCGTTGCGCGCAGCTGACGGATTTATTCATCGACGACCCGCGCTGCGAGCTGCACGTGCTACACCCGATTATAGTCTCGTGCGGCGAGTCGCTTCGCCATGTGGTTATCGACTGCGATCAGGACAGCACGAGCCGGAACGAAGCGTCGATTTGCAGTATTTTATGGATTATCTCGCTCTATTGCAAGCAGGTTCAGAGTATCGAGCTGACGTCAGGGGGGATAGAGACGTCGTTCGGGGCTCTTGAGACTCGGTGCATGTGGTATCTCACTTCGGGCTTCCGAAACGTGCGACATTTCGCGAGCCTTTCGCGAAACAGCGTAACGAAGCAGGCGATTTACCTCATGGTGATCGCGTGGAGGGACCTGACGTGCCTGCGAATTCACAACGGCGGGCTAGAAGTCGACGATCTTTTCGCGCTTCGCAAATGCGCGGGCTTGCGACTGCTGGAGCTCTTCGGCGGATCGATTCAAACTCCTGGCGCTCTTGCGAATAGCTGTCCGTTCGCAGCAGCGTCGGGCGCAACTGTTTTCCATCGCGAGCTCGAAGTTTTGGTTCTGACCGACGTAGACTTCGACGCGGGGGCAATCGCGACGATCGCGCTGCACTGCCCGAAGCTGCGAAAGATTATCGTGAAGGGCGTTTGCTGCCACCCCTGCGGGAGCAAGGTTGCTCGCGGCGGCCCGGAGGGCGAGAAAGCTGCGGAGGCTGCGAGCGCCTGTGCGAAACAGAAGGTCGCGCTGCTGCGACAAATTCTGTCGCTGGCCGACAGGTTGGAAGTTTTGATGCAGTGATACGCGTTACTGGGATTGACATGATGGATTCGTTAGTGGGTTTAGATCCAAGGCGCGTACGCCATCCCGACCCTGATGGTGCTCAGTAGGGAGGCCATCGATTGGCAGAAAAGCTGGGAGTGCTTATTTATTGCGTTTTTGTCTACATGTGTGTTAACCATTTGTGACTATATCCAATGCAGATTTTCTTCACACCACCTCTCTGAAAAAGTGGGGGCAACAGCACAATAACAGAAGGCCTCTCAGGCACCATGCATATGCACATGGCAGGCTGGGTTCATTCTGCTTCGGAAGTTCGGAACACAAGTAGAAGAACCTGAACCATTCCAATCCATGGAAGCCTGGGAGACAGCTGACCTAATTGTCTTGCATTCCCTGCCCTTCAAACTGCCCTAATTCTTTGAAGCTGCCCGGAAAACAGTCCCGGCTTGGTGAGAGTGAGGCCACGGGCCTCTGGCGGGCAAGGGATCGTGGGAGAGGGGCGAGCAGGTTGGACGAGGCAGGGGAGGAGGACGAGAGGGAGGGGGGGAGAGGGGTGGAGGGAGACGAGTTGGGTGCAGAGTTGAGGGGAGACTGGGGAGAGGAGGCTGGGGGGGAGGGGTGGGGGGAAGGATGAGAGGAGGGGTGGGGGGAAGGCTGAGAGAAGGGGTGTGTGGGGTCGGTTGGGGGTCGAGGGATGGGTTGTTGTGAGAGTGGAGAGACTCCTCGGATGGTGGAGTGTCCATTTGACTCCAACCCTCCACGAGACTGTTGGGGATTTTCAGGACTAGGTTGATTTTCACTCCATGCATTCGCCTCGCACCCTTCATCGGCCCACGGTAACCCTGTTACCGAGGCGGTGCCATTCGCGGTTTGAGGTGCTGGTAAGTGAGTGTCAGAACCAGTGACAGCAGCAGCGGCGGCTGCGGCGGCGGCGGCAGCAGAGCGGAAGAGAGACGAGGGGGACGGAGGGGTGTGCCCCAGATGGAACCCGTAAAAAGTTTCCGTCACCTGCCCGGTAACCTCGCCTTCCCAGTCGCACCCAGCCCCTGCTGTAGCGGGTTCGGCACAACTCCTCTTACTGCCGAAGCCCCCGCCTTCCCCTCCCCCCAGCCCCTGCCCTCTCTTTCTCTTTCCACCTGGATTTCCCCCTCCAGCACTCATCTTTCCTTCTCCAGGTACGGCCTCCCCACCGCTCTCCTCCATCCGCTCCCCTCTCTCCTCGTTCTCCCCTCCCTCGCCGCCCTCCCCCCCCTCCCCCCCACAGTACACGCTATCCACAACAGCAGGGCTCATGGGGCGGCAACTGGGCAGCTGAACGTCCACGACTTTGCGTGCCGGGCAGCCCGGAACGGAACAACCGAAATAAAACCTGCAAGGGTTTAGGGAAGGCGTGACTGGGAGAGTCTTTAGTTCAGATTTCAATGGGCCGATGCAGGACCCTTGACTCACTTAGATGATAAGATATTCTGAAGCTTATACCATGAATGGCATATGCAAGTGCAACCAACTGGAACAGCTGTGTGAGTATGCACTCAACTGAGACAAACAACGCACAACTCCCTGAACCCCACCACCCCCTGTGCGCGCACCCTCCCTCCCCCTGAACACCCAACCCCATCCTTCCTCCTTCCCCACCTCGACCCCACCCCCCCCCCCCTGTGCGCACACCTCTCCATGCGCCGGCCGGTGGCAGCGTGGGTGATCTGCAATCAACTCACACCAACATCACCCAACCCCATGACCCCCCACCCAACCTAACCCTGCTCCCTGACCCCCAACCATCCCCACCCTCCCTTGTGCACCCGCTCACCTCTCCATGCGCCTGCCTGTGGCAGCGTGGGTGATCTCCTTCCTCCCTGTCTCCGCCCATGCTGCCTCGCCTGCTGCCTGGCTGGATGGGCTGGGGGGGGGAACGGGGAGGAGGAAAGAAAGGGGAGAAGGGCAGACGGAGGGAGATGGGCAGACGGAGGGAGATGGGGGATGTCTGTGCCGGCCTGTGGCAGCGTGGGTCATCTCCTTTCTCCCTGTCTCCGCCCATGCTGCCTCCCCTGCTGCCGGGCTGGGGAGAAGAGGAAGGACCAGGGGAGCAGGGGGAGCAGTGGGGAGAAGGTAGAAAAGGGGAAAGGGGAGGCAGGATGGAAGAGGTAGAAAAGGGGAAAGGGGAGGCAGGATGGAAGAGGTAGAAAAGGGGAAAGGGGAGGCAGGATGGAAGAGGTAGAAAAGGGGAAAGGGGAGGCAGGATGGAAGAGGTAGAAAAGGGGAAAGGGGAGGCAGGATGGAAGAGGTAGAAAAGGGGAAAGGGGAGGCAGGATGGAAGAGGTAGAAAAGGGGAAAGGGGAGGCAGGATGGAAGAGGTAGAAAAGGGGAAAGGGGAGGCAGGATGGAAGAGGTAGAAAAGGGGAAAGGGGAGGCAGGATGGAAGAGGTAGAAAAGGGGAAAGGGGAGGCAGGATGGAAGAGGTAGAAAAGGGGAAAGGGGAGGCAGGATGGAAGAGGTAGAAAAGGGGAAAGGGGAGGCAGGATGGAAGAGGTAGAAAAGGGGAAAGGGGAGGCAGGATGGAAGAGGTAGAAAAGGGGAAAGGGGAGGCAGGATGGAAGAGGTAGAAAAGGGGAAAGGGGAGGCAGGATGGAAGAGGTAGAAAAGGGGAAAGGGGAGGCAGGATGGAAGAGGTAGAAAAGGGGAAAGGGGAGGCAGGATGGAAGAGCCATTAAGCAATGAAGTTAGATGAGGAAGATGAGGGCAAGATGGGTTTCTATCTATGCAGACCTGTCAAGGCACTGAGCAATTCACAATGAAGTTAATGATCTACAAAGGCAAAAGCTATGCAGGGAACGACGGCATTGGTGACACGGATGCTGCGCGAGTGCCACGGCCATGCATGGATGGAACAATATGGCTGCGGGAGTATCGGTTTGTGAGAACGGTTCAGCATGGATGGTATGGAGTAGACGACTTTCGAGACGTCTCAAAAGGCATGGCATGTGATGGCATGGCATGGCATGGCATGGCATGGCCTGGCATGGGGACAAACCTGAAGGCAGCAGAAGCGTCAGTTCTGAGTGCTGCTGCTGGTAGCCCATTCAGCCCACCCAGCCCTGGCGCCTGCCCACTCTGCTGCCCTCCTTGCACGGTTGGTACGGCTGACCCTGTCGCTGCTGCTTTGCTCGTTCCTGCTGCTTCAGCAGCACCAGTGGCAGCATTCGCAGCAGCGGTGGAAGTAAGAGCGCCATTGGCACTGCCAGAATTAGCAGCAGCGGCGGCGGCACCATTAGCAAGAGCAGCGGCATCACGAGCAGGGTTGCTCCTGAAAGGCTCCAATAGAGGAGCTACGGAGGAGAAACCAGCTGCTATTGGGGAGAGAGGGGACGGCCCTGGTGAATGCCCAGGTGAAAACCCAGGGGAACGCCGAAGGGAACGACCAGGAGAAAACCCAGGGGAGGCTCCGAGAGGAGTGGGGCCGGAGGGGGGTGACTTGGCGGCAAGAATTAGCCCACCCATGCTGCCATAGCGGAGAAGGCTGAGCAGATCCCCCTGCTTGGATCCTGGTGAACCCCACTCCCCCTCTCCACCCATCCCCATCCCTATGCACCGACCCATATTACCACCACCGCTGCCAAAGTTCCCCTCTCCCCCTCCCTCTCCCCCTCCTTCTCCTCCTCCCTCCCCCCCTCCTTCTCCCACTCCTTCTCCTCCTCCTTCCCCACCTCCCTCTCCTGCTCCTTCTCCCTCTACCTCTCCACCCACTTCCCCTCCTCCTTCTCCCCCTCCTTCCCCCCTTCCCTCCCCACATCCTTCTTCCCTTCCCTCTCTCCTCCCTTCTCCCCTCTCCTCCCCCTCTCCTTCCCCTCTTTCCCACCCCCTATCAGTCAAGCCGTTCCCATACCCTTTGTGCTGCTGCCCCCAAGCCACACGAGTGGGCGAGGTGAGAGGCGAGTTGGAAGTGAGAGAGTCAACGCGCGCCAGACGATGCCTGGGAGGGGAGCCCGGGCAGCGCTTGGGTGGCGAGAGGGAGGGGCGGATAAGGGGAGTGGGAGAACGAGGAGCAGGTGGTGAGGGCGGGCGGTGGGAAGGCGGGGAGGGAGGACGGCGGGAAGGCGAGGACAGAGGGTGGTGAGAGGGTGGAGAGAGCGAGCGGCGGGCAGGGGGGGAGAGGGAGGGGCGATCGACAGGGGAGCCAGTGCGTTGCAGCCTAGACGCACCAGCTGCTGCTGCTGCTGCTGGCGAGTGTAGAGGGGAACGCTCAGGACTTAGCTTCTGTAAAGCACCGGCTGCACCGGCAGCACCAGCAGCACCAGCAGCAGCAGCAGTAGCAGCTGCTGCTGCTGCTGCCTGTGAGCCAAGACGTGTGAGTGGAGGGGCTAGAAGCCCCCCCATACTGCCAAAGCGAAGCAGGTTCTGCAACTCCCGCCCATCCACTGATGACAGCCGTGCCACTGTTTCCCTCTCGTTTCCCGCTCCACCCCCCGCCCCACCTCCTCCTCCTGCCCCTCCTCCCCCTGCTGCCCCTCCCCCTGCTGCTAGGGACCCTAATCTAGAAAGCGGAGGGGCTAGAAGGCCCCCCATACTGCCGAACCGAAGCAGGTTCTGCAACTCCCGTCCATCCACTGATGACAGACGCGCCATTGTCTCCCTCTCGTTTTCCCCTCCTCCCCCCGCCCCACCTCCTCCTCCTGCCCCTTCTCCTCCTGCTGCTGCTCCTCCTGCTGCTGGTCCTCCTGCTGCCAGGGACCCTAGTCTGGAAAGCGGAGGGGCTAGAAGCCCCCCCATACTGCCAAAGCGAAGCAGATTCTGCAGCTCTCGCCCATCCACGGACGACAGCCGCGCCATTGTTTCCCTCTCATTTCCACCCCCTGCTGCTGCTGGTGCCCCCCTCCCCCCTCCTCCTAGCCTCGACAGCCCTCCTGTCTGAATATCCTTGAGAAAAGAAGGGAGCTCATCCGGAGGATCCTGACCGTTGGTTTCAGGCGCCTCCCACGTTCCCATCCATGCAGGCCGCGCGTTGCTGCCTGCCGAAAAGGCTGCCTCGCCCACAGCCCCAGAACCACCTGCGGAAACACCTGGCTCTGCTGCTGCAAACCCAAGCGGCAAATCATCACCCCCACCACCAGTTGACCCTGCTCCAAAGGCATCTACTCCTTCAGCGTCTGCCTGCATCTGCAGAGGGGAGAGTCCTCGCACGCTCGCGAGGTTGCCTGCAGTGGAGGCATCGCTCGGTAGGCGCTCTAGCAGACCCTGCCGGGCCAGCAATCTTCGAGCGAAAATCGGCTGCTCCTGCTGCCTTCGCTGCTGCTGCTGCTGCTGCTGCTGCTGGTTATCTTGTTCCTGCTGCCTTAGCTGCTGCTGCTGCTGGTTATGTTGTTCCTGCTGCCTTAGCTGCTGCTGCTGCTGCTGGTTATGTTGTTCCTGCTGCTGCTGCTGTTGTTGGAGCGACTCGCTCTGCTCCTGTAGTTCTCGCAACATCTGCTCTTCCACCCGCTTCTGCTCTCGCTCCTCCCGCTCCCTCTGCTCATTCTGCATCCTCAGCACCTCCTGCTGCTGCTGCTGCCACTTCAGCCGCTCCTGCTGAAGCTGCAGCTGCACCTGCTGCCGCTGCAACCTCTCCTGCTGCTGCTGTAACAGCATCTGCTGCAGTTGGTTCTGAGCCAATCCCGCTTCTATAGCACCCGCATCGTTCCCCAAACCAGACCCGACAGAATCAGCCACACGCACAGGGTGAAGACCATCAAACCCATTCTCCCCCAGCAATGTCCCTGCTCTGTTCAACCCAGTACCAGTGCTTAAGCCCATACCTCCACTTAACCCAGGGCCGGTGCTTAGACCTACACCGGGACTTAACCCAGTACCAGTGCTTAAGTTAGTACCCGTGCTTAAGCCAGTGCCTGTGCTGCCGGCGGGGGAAGAGGACGGGAACCCACCAGATGATCGGGCAGTATAGGGTAAAGCGGGCCAGGGTTGCTGGTCTAGGGTTTGGGAGGGAGAAGGAGGCGTGTGGGCGGGTGAGGGTGCTGAGTGGAGGGGTGAGTGACCCTGGTAGGCGGGTGAAGGTGCTGAGTGCATGGTTGAGTGGGCCTGGTGGGTGGGTGATGGGCCATTGTGCAAATGCAGTGCTGTGAGCAGGCCAGATGCTGTGGGGGATGTGGGGGAGGAGGTTGGGGCCAGGCCGACTGCCTGGGTGGTGGTGGGGGAATGGGCAGGGGATATCTGTTGCCACTGCTGCTGCTGCTGCTGCTGCTGCTGCAGTAGGAGAAGCAACTGTAGTTGCTGTTGCTGCTGCTGTTGGTGCTGCTGTTGGTGTTGCTGCTGTTGCTGCTGTTGCTGTTGCTGCTGCTGTTGGTGCTGCTGTTGGTGCTGCTGTTGCTGCTGCTGCAGCTGTTTTGGCGGGGTAAGGGAGCGAGAGGAGGGAAAGAAAGGGTTGTTCTGGCCAGGAAAAGAGGACTGGCGGGGGATGGGCAGGGGTGCTGACACAGACCTGCCCCCTGCAAGATAAGCAGCAGCAGCAGCAGTCCCAGCAGCATCTGCTTGTGCTCCTGTGCTTGTGCCCATGCCTGCTCCTGTAATTGTGCCCGTACCTGCTCCTGCCATACCAATTTCTGCTCCTGCCGCCGTACCTATTCCTGCCACCATCCCAACACCCGTGCCTGTTAGTCCTCCTGCTGCTGCCGTGGCTGTGCTGCTGGTTCGGTTGAGCCGAGGTGCGGGACCCAGCATAGGCACGGGACGAGACAGGTTCGCCCCGAACCTGCTGCCAGGAGAAACCGCAGGAGAAGAGAATATCTCAGGAGAAACGGCAGCGGAGGCTCCTCCTAAGGGGGACACGCCAGGTGAAGTGCCAGGTGAAATTCCAGGTGAAATGGCAGCGAGGGAAAGGCCAGGAGGAGGGAAACGAGGAGGTAGGGGGACGGGCCAAGTGTGTGTCGCAGTGGTGACGCTGGCTGTGGGGCTGGAGTGGGGCGAGCAAGGCTGGTGAGGTGAGCAGGGCTGGTGAGGCGAGCAGGGTTGGTGAGGCGATAAATATGGTGAGCTCGAAGCAGCACCAGCAAATGCATCAGCGGCAGCAGCACCAGCAGTGGCAGTAGCAGCAGCAGCACCAGAAGCGGCAGCAGCAGGGAGAGGAGCCGTGGTGGTAGGTGGCGGTGCAAGGAGCTGATCCAATGAGAGATGGTGCTGTCTCTGCAAGGAACGAATTCCAATACCAGCAGTAACCGCTGTGCTGTCAACTCCAGTACCACCACCAGCACCACTGCTGCCAGCAAGAGCACCAGCAGCAAAAGCGCCGGCAGCGGCAGCGGCAGCAGCAACTCCCGTCGATCCTCCTGTGTGTACGTTTGTGCGTGCCATGTCCGCTGCTGATGACACTCCAGCGCCTGCTGCTGTTCCCTTGGCGTCTTGTTGTGCCAGGGGGCCGGCTCTGCTTATAGTGTTTGCTGCTAACGCCTGCTGCTTCTCCTGCTGCATCTGCTGATGTTGCTGATGCTGCTGCTGCCGCTGTTGCTGCTGCTGCTGCTCCTGCTGCTCCTGTTGCTGCTGTTGCTGTTGCGACTGATGTTTCTCCTCCTCCTGCTGCTGCTGCTCCTGCTGTTGTTGCTGCTGCTGTTCCTCTCCCTGCAGTAGCTGCTGCAGTTGCTGTAGTTGCTGCAGCTGCTGCAACAATTCCTCCTGTAACGGTTCATCTGGCAGCGTGTCTCCCTCTAACAGTCCCTCCTGAAACGGTTCTGCTTGTAACGGTTCTGATAATAAAGGATGTGCTTGTAACGAAGCAGACTCGAGCGCAGCCGTGGCCCCACCTTTCCCATTCTCAGCCTCCCGAAACGCTCGAGTCAACCCTCCTTCCACTCTCCGTGCTCCTCCTGCCCCTAATCTCTCCCCCCTTTCTCCTGCTCCTCCTCCCATCCCTCCTTCCACCCCCCCCCCCCATCCCTCCTCCCATCCCTCCTCCCATCCCTCCTCTCATCCCTCCTCCTCCTGTTCCTCCTCCAATCCCTCCGCCTGTCCCTCCGCCTGTCCCTCCTTCCATCCCTCCTCCCATTCCTCCTCCTAATCCTCCTAGCATCCCTCCTCCTGCTGCTTCTCCCATCCATCCCCCCATCCCTCCCTCCATCCCTCCTTCCAACCCTCCTCCCATCGCTCCCATCCCTCCACCTGCTCCGCTCCTTCTCTCCACACTCCCCCGTCCTCTCACCCCCCCTGCGCCACCCCACTCCATCAGCCCTGCAGCCCCCATCAAGCCTCCTCGCTCCATGTGTCCCACCGCCCCCATCCCCATCAAGCCTCCCCACGACTGGTCCTGCCCTGACACTGTGCGGGTGAGCGCACTCGATGCAGGACGAAGGGGTGCTGCGAGGTTCGCAGGTGTTGAGAGCTTTGCCCGCTTTAGCGGTGGGCTTGGGCCTAACCTGTCACTAGTGCCAGAGGCCCCAGCTGGCCCCAACGCGCCACCACCACCACCTCCCCCACCACCAGCGCCAGCACTCAAGCCAGAGTCGCCCCACCCACCCGCCCCTGCACCCACCATCCCTCCTCCTCCCATCATCCCTCCTCCCATCATCCCTCCTCCTCCCATCACCCCTTCTCCTCCCATCACCCCTTCTCCTCCCACCATCTCTTCTCCCCCCATCATCCCTTCAACTTTCATCATCCCTTCTCCTCCCATCACCCCTTCTCCTCCCATCACCCCTTCTCCTCCCATCACCCCTTCTCCTCCCATCACCCCTTCTGCTCTGCCCGTCCCATCTGCTCCCACCCCCCCTTCCACTCCCCCCATCCCATCAGCGCTCACCATCCCAGCCACTCCCCCCATCACTGCACCATTCCACCCCACAACCCTACCCACACCCTCATCATCCCTTGTGCCTTGCTCCCTACCCACACTCCCCCCTACTGACCCCTCTCCCCGCCCCCCTCCCTTCCCACTACTCCTCCTCCCACCTCCTCCGCCCTCCCTCTTCCCCAGCGCCCTCACTTCCGCTTCCGCCCCACCCCCCACCCCCTTTTCCCCAGCTCTCCCCCCTTCCCCCACTCCTCCCCCCTCCCCAGCCCCTCCCCTGCATTCCCCCCGTCCGCCCCCTTCACCCTTGCGCCTGCCACCAGGGAGGGAGCGCGACCGGGGGGTGGTGGAACGGGGGAGGGCGGAGGGGGGGTTGGCGGAGCGGGTGCTGGCGGAAGGGGGGGTGGCGGAAGGGGGGCTGGCGGAGGGGGGGGTGGCGGAGCGGGGGGTGGCGGGGCGGCGGGTGAGGCGAATGCGGACGGGCTGGGGGTGGCAGTGGGGGCGCGTGTAGGTGAGCTGCAGGGAGGAGGCGTTGGCTCGGTGGATATCCACCACTCGCACTGCTGGACACCTCGTGGTTCCCTCAGGGTGGTATGCACACCGATACACCACCCTGTGGGGAGAAGATGGGAGGGGAGTAGTAGCAGAGGCAGTAGAGAGGTTGTGAATATAGCACACGTTGCGTCATCCACCACGCGCACTGCAGGACACCTGGCGCTGCCCTCCGGGCGCTATGAGGCGTCTCAAATGTTGAGCCGACTCAAACCACACCCGCCCCCTCCTTTACGCACCGGATGTACGAGGGGCTTGTGGCGCCTAGGCAGGTCCCACAGGTAGGTACCCATCCTCCCCTGGCAGCTGCAGCAACCCCCCCTGTGCACCACCACATGCATCAGCACACCCCAGCCCAACCCACCCCCCTCCCCTCCCCTCCCCCAACCCACCACCCCCACTCACGAGCGGCTTCTGGCGCCTGGGTGGGTCCCACAGGTAGGTACCCGTCTTCAGGCAGCTGCAGTGACCGCCCGCCTTGAAACAGCTCAAATCTCACACACAATTCAACTCCAAAGCACACCGATTGCAGACAATTAACCCCCCCCTTCTCCCCTTACCCCCCTCCTTCCACTCACCGGATGTACATGGAGTTGACGAGCGGTTTGTGGCGCCTGGGCGGGTCCCACAGGTACCCATCTTCTGGCAGCTGCAGCGCCCGCCAGCTCCGCTCATCCCCCTCCGCCTGCTCCCCCCGCCCCCCCTGCTGCGCCCCCTCCCTGCCACCCTCCCCCTCCCCTTCTCCCTGCTCCCCCCCTTCCTCCTCGCCCTCCCCCTCGTCGTCCATGCCCACCAGTATCTCCTCTCCCCGGCTCAGCATGGCTTCGAACGTTCTGTCATGTTGGGCGATTGGTGCAGGGGGCGATCAGGGGAGGGGAGCGAAGGAACAGGGACGAGTTATTCCCCTTGCTGATAGATAGCACAGAGAGCTCAGTACAGGTCATTCAGTACAGGTCATTCAGTACAGGTCATTCAGTACAGGTCATTCAGTACAGGTCATTCAGTACAGGTCATTCAGTACAGGTCATTCAGTACGGGTCATTCAGTACGGGTCATTCAGTACAGGTCATTCAGTACAGGTCATTCAGTACAGGTCATTCAGCACAGCTCAGTACGGCATTTTGAGTGCTGAGCTCTCTCTGCGATCAGCAAGGGGAATTTGCTCCGTACTCAAATTCACAGAACAATCAAACTCAAAGCACCCACGCAGCAGCAGCAGCCCACTCACTTGTAGTCCAGGTCTTGGCCTCCCCCCTCACCCCCCTCCGCGCCCTTACCACCCTCTGCGCCCTCCTCTCCCTCCCACCCTTTTGTAACTGCCTCAAACCACCGACGGTCCCATTCACACAGCACTCACTTGTAGTCCAGGTCTTGGCCTCCCCCCTCACCCCCCTCCGCGCCCTTACCACCCTCTGCGCCCTCCTCTCCCTCCCACCCTTTTGTAACTGCCTCAAACCACCGACGGTCCCATTCACACAGCACTCACTTGTAGTCCAGGTCTTGGCCTCCCCCCTCACCCCCCTCCGCGCCCTTACCACCCTCTGCGCCCTCCTCTCCCTCCCACCCTTTTGTAACTGCCTCAAACCACCGACGGTCCCATTCACACAGCACTCACTTGTAGTCCAGGTCTTGGCCTCCCCCCTCACTCCCCTCCGCGCCCTCCTCTCCCTCCCCCCACAAATCCCCGAACTGCATTGGCATCCGCGCATTCCCCCCCTCTGCCGCGGACTGGCCTTCCCCACCTGCACCCGCACCGCAAAAGGACAAGGTTGAAACAGTGGAGAGGAGGCGGAATTAGCAGATGGGGGGGGATTGAGAAAGAAACGATTGATGGAGGACTAGGGCGAGGAGGAGGCGGGGGAGAAAGAGGGGCGCACTATGTTAGTCTCACCTCCGCTCGACCGCGCATCCCCGTTCCCCCCCGCACCATACCCCATCACAGCACCCGCCGCCTCTGCAGCAGCGACAGCGGCAGCAGCAGCAGCAGCCATGCTTTGTGACGACGCGGACATATCCCTGGGGGGGTGACGGAGCGCTGGATGGTGGGCGAGGCGGGGGCGGGGGAGAAAGAGGGGCGCACGATGCTAGACTCACCTCCAGTTGACCTCGCCTCTCCGTTCCCCCCCGCACCACCCGCCATCACAGCACCCGCCGCCTCTGCAGCAGCGACAGCAGCGGCAGCAGCAGCAGCCATGCTCTGCGAAGACGCGGACAAGTCCCGGGGGGGAGTGACGGAGCGCTGGATGGTGGGCGAGGCGGGGCTGAGGCCCGCGTGGTTGTGGCGGCCGTGGTACCCCACGCGGATCTCGTGCGGGTTGGAGGGGAGCCGGTCCACCAGCTTGCGCGCCGGGCATGACCCCTTGGCCGCGCTGCAGTAGCTGCACCGGTAGTAGGACCTTGTAACGGGGATAAATCGGGTGGGAGGGAAGGGGGAGGGGGAGGGGGGGGGGAGGGGGGGGGTAGTTGTGATTGGGAATGGAGTAGCGGGATGAGGTACTGATGAGCTGCTGTGCTGTAACGATCTGTTGCTGAAGCTTGTAACGGACCGCACTTAGCACTCACTGCTGCTCTCATGGTCCCTATAAGCACTCACCGCACGAAGCTGGAGTGCAGCAGCACCTTCTGTCCGTACTTGGTCCATCGGTGTCCGTCGAACACGACGTCTGTCTGCCGCTTCGACTCCTGCCCCACGTCTACCCCCATTCTTCCGCTACCAATCAGCGACCGACACGTCGGACGGAGCTAGGCGTCGGAACGCTCGCGCCGCTCCGCTACCAGCGAAATGGCATCAGAGGCGGCAGGTATATGTGTTCGTCACATGATCATCTGCACTCATGACTCGATATAGTACCGAGCTGGATATTGCCTCGCATTCTCGTCGTTACTCTTAGATCATGCCAATCGCGACGTATCAGCTGTTTCCGAACGACGGTAGACTATTGCTCCGAATCGATTGCTCTCATGCGATTGCTTCCATCTATAGCTCTGTCGACTGCAAGCGACGGATCCGAACGGAAGGAATCAAAGCTTCCTAGTGGAATTGAACTTTCGTACAACGAAGACGACTGATAATTTACTTCAAACGCGTCGACGAAGATCGCATTTTGTTTCTGACGATGACGGCCGCCATGGCGTCGCATTACCTTACCATGACTCGCAGAACGCGACGCGAGCTAATCGAGAAGTCGTGACGCCAGGACTGACAATAGTCGAATGTGACAATACGGAGGTAAAGCTCGATCAGGCAGCACAGCTCGCGCTCACAAGAAACAATGAAGCTGTGAACGATAGGAGTAAGCTAGTCGTACTCATATTTTCCCAGGGAGCAGGTTGGTTTGCAAATAACTCGGTTCCTCTCATTCCATTCCGCACCGCAGAAGCTGACGATAGTCGTGACTTTGCACGCCTTCTTCGACAAACTTCTGAACGCTGTGAGATGTTCACGCGGAATGGGAAGTGATGGTGGTGGTGTTCCCGTCTCACGTCACGACTCACGAGTCACGCACGAACCAGAGTTGAGTGATGGGTATTCTGTGGACCGTGCACTGCACATGTTTCCAGGCGTGGGCTCCAGAAATCCGAAATGACTTTCAGGCAATTTCAAGGGGAAACCTAGGCCGCAAACAACATTATCAATAAATGAAATATGTTTTCTGTATGACGAAACCGCACGGACCTTATATCGGGCAGAGAAACGGATATGTTTGCCTACTGCGCTCTTCTGCCACCCAGATTATTCTCTGGATGAAATCCGGGACCGAATTTACGTCGATTTAATCGTGACCGTAGCTGCTGCACAGTGGGTCTTTTGGCTTGGGTGGATGAAGGCGTGGGTAGCGGTCCCAGCCCAGACCGGAGCCCAGCCAATGGTGGGGAATGTGAACTCCAACCTGGCACACACCCGATAAAGCGTTGGAAGCAGAATATATGTGCTGCGGTATATTGCGCAAATATATGTTTGCGGAGCAGCTCTGTAAAGCGAACAATAGGTATGGCCATTAGGACGCGTCACATTTGGAAAACCGAGGAAGGTTCGGGAAGTTCACCGATCCTGCCAAATCGATCGCCACATCGGTATGCCACGACTGAATTTTTGCAATCGCGGGCCCACCGCAAGTCCCAAGTGACACGGTCGGAAAATCATGGGGCAAAATTGCCCGATGTGGACGAAATTGCGCGATCGATGTGTGACAAGGGCACATCGATCGCCCGACTCCGAGGGGACAACTGTACATTGGCGATGGATGACGAAGACAGGTAACCAGCAATTAACGACGTCGTGAATGCGAAAAATCGATCTTGTGCAGGATCGGTGTTTCACTTGTGACGCGTCCTTAGACTGGTGGGGGTCGGTGGCTTGAGTAGAACACATTCGGTTCGTTCGTTATCGAGACTGGTCTACATTGCCACTATTTACCTATTTACTCGAACTTCCCCACCCTAATGTCGTTCTCCTAGCTCGTCCGCACGCTTGACTGCACGCACCGCGCCATTATCATTGTTCGTGCACCACGCGCGCGTCATGGCGCGAACGCCCCGGAATCGGCCGCAGCAGCAGCAGTCTGGCTTCGCGCGAGCAGCACAGCCCGACCGACCGACGGAGGTCGTCGCGAAACATTCCAGCGCGGCGAAAGCAACGGTCTCGCGAAGAGCGTTACACGATTCGCCGTCGTCCTCCCCTTCTCCACACCTGCCAACTCTCACCTCACCCGCCTCCAGCCCTTCGACTTCGTCCCACGGCCCCGCCAATGCCGGCGAAAATAAATCTCATTTTCGAGGAGCCATGAGTCCGATCTACGGCAAGCGAACATTCGCTACAGTCACACCCGCCACAGCGAAATCCAAATCCCCCGTTAGAAGCGACGGCTTGATTCGCGCGCTGTTACTGTACGGCGTGGCGTCGCTCATCCTCCTCCTCGTGCTCATAGGCGAATTACATCGATCCCACGTGGCTTCATTAGCGACCGATCCCGGCTCGCAGCGGCACCCTCGCTTTACTCACAACCACCAAACGGGCAGCAAGCAACAAAGTCAACGGAGTCAACGCAGTCAACAGCAGTACCCGTGGCATGTGCGCATCAGGCACGGCATGTTCCGGAAGAACCCCTCTGGTCTCCTACATTCTCACTCACTTTCTCACTCTCACTCTGACGCTCAGTCGTCCTCTGACGAAAGTCTTGGTGCTCGCGCCTCATCTCAACACACCTTGGACCCAGCGGTACGTTACATCCCTTCCTTCCTCGTTACATCCCTTCCCCCCTCGTTACATCCCTTACACTCCGTTACATCCTGTCCCTCCCCGTTACATTTCTAACCCGGCCGGAATCTGCACTGAGACCCCTATTCCCGGACGTCAGTTACATCTCTGACCCTTGGTTACATCTCTCTGACCCGCCGTTTCATGTGTGCGCCCCTTGCGACAGCCAGAGCCTCAGCGATTGGCTGCGGGCGCACGGGTGGCGCATGAGCAACCCGCTCCCAGACCCCGCATTCCGCGAGCAGGACGAGGATGAAGAGGAGGAGGGCGGGTGGGGCGCTCTCATGAAGGCACAGCAAGCCCAGCGGGAGCAGCAGGAGCAGCAGCAGGATAACCGCGGCCTGGGGAAGGAACGATCAGCAGCAGCAGCTGGTGATACAGATGGTGGTGCTGCTGCTGGTGCCGGCACTGGTGGTACGAATAGGGGTAGCGCTGCTGCTGCTGCTGCTACTAGTGCAACCACCAGGCCCATAACCGACTCGTTATCAGCAGACTCGATACCAGCAGAGGCCAACGCGACTTTCCTGCGCCTGCTGCAGCAGCAGGGCGACTACGCATGCACCCTGTGGGTGCGCAACGTGTGCTACGCCTTCAACCCCCTCTTCCACTCCGTGCCCGTCGCCAACCACGAGATCGAAAAGATCATGCTGCGCGAGCGAATCACGGACCGCCACGTGGGCGTGTGGTTCTGGAAGGACCCCAGATACGACCTGTCCCGGTTGAACCTATCTGGAAACATCTGCACGGGGAAATCCGCTCTCCCACCGCTGAGGAAAGAGCATTTCTCGAGTGCGGACGTGCGGGATGTGCCAGAGCTGAGTGGGCGCGTGGGGCTGTTTGTGCATGCCAGTGATGCTGAGCTGTTCTTCCTGCACGGCCGCCCGCCTGCTGACCCCGTTCCTGCCGCTGCTGCTGGCACCAGCGGCACCAGCAGCAGCAGCGGCGGCGGCGGCGGCAGCACGACCAGCAGCAGCAGCAGTGGTTTCTCGGGTAGTGCGTATACCACTAACAACGCGTCGTTCGCCATCTCAGCGCAACGACCAGAGGAGTGGCGGGGCGTGGGCGTGGTGTCGCTGAGGGACGGGCACCTGGGGCACTTCGTGGAGTTCATCGGTGCCATGACTGAACTCGCCTCACACCTGCCCACTGGCAAGAGGGACAGGGACGTGCCAGGCACGCAAGTGGCAGCGGCAGGCAAGGATTCTCCAGGCAGGGAGGTGGCATCTGGGGGAGGGACGGCTCCTGATGATGCTGCTGCTGCTGGTGACAGTGCTGGTAGTGCTGGTGCTGGTGCTGGCGCTGGTGATGCTGCTGGTGTCAGTGGTGGTGCGGCTGCTGCTGCTGGTGGGGATGATGGAAAGGAGGGGGACAGGGTTGATGTGCAGCCAGTGCTCTTCTTTCCAAGTGGGTGAGTGAGTGCTCTGCTTCTCTTGTCTCTCCTTCCCCTCTCTCCTTCCCTTTTTTCCTTCCTATCTTCCCGTCTCCACATCCCTCCTTCCTCCCCTCATTCTCCTCCTCTTTTTCCCTCCCCTCACTCGTCTCGCTTCCCGTTCCTGCCCCCCTCCTCTACCCACCCCTCTCAGTGCGGGAATATCAAGGTGGGTGGTGGCAGCTGGCGCGGTTGCCATGCTGTCTGCCCTCTCTCTCTCTCTCTCTCTCTCTCTCTCTCTCTCTCTCTCTCTCTCTCTCTCTCTCTCTCTCTCTCTCTCTCTCTCTCTCTCTCTCTCCTTCTCTCCTTCCCTTCTCTCCTCACTCTCCTCCTGACCTCCCGCTCCCCTCCCTCCCTTCCACCCCTCTCAGTGCGGGAATATCAAGGTGGGTGGCGGCAGCTGGTGCAGTTGCCATGCGCGGCCCTCAAGCCTTGCGGGACTTTCAGGGCATGAGAGCCCCCCAAGCCTTGAGGGAGCATCAAGGCACGAAAGACCACGCCGGCATGCGAGGGCTTAAGGGCACGCGACAGCAGAGGACGCAGGGGGGAGTAGACGCAGCAGGGGCAGCCGTGGCAGCAGGGGCGGCAGGGGCAGCAGGGGGAGAAGCAGCAAGAGCAGCAGCAGGGGCCGCACTGGCAGCAGCAGAATCTCCTCCACCAGCAGTGGAGGCAGGGCGGGTGTGGACGCACACGACGTGCTTCCAGGACGCCTTCTTCCCGCTCTCCATCGCCCACGCGCCCTCCTCCGCCGACCTCTTCCGCCTCTGGGTCGCGCAGGGCGCCGGGCTTGGCAAGACCCTTAAAGCCCAGCAGGCCGATCCGAGGATTTGGACGGATGAGATTGAACGGATGGGGGGGAGTGGTGGGGGGAGAGGGGAGCGTGGGGCAGGGGGTGAGAGAGGGGAGAGAGGAGGGGGAGGGGGGTTGAGGAGGGGTAGTGTGAAGGATGGAGGGCGGAAGGGGTTGGAGAAGGGGGTGGAAAAGGGGGATGTGGGCGAGAAGAATGGAGAGAGAAAGGGGGGAGGGAAAGGAGGGAGAGGCAATGGGGAAGGTGAGAAGAAAATTGATAAGAAAGGGAGGAGCGATGGGGAGGATAAGAAAGATGAGGAAAAAGGGAAGAAGAATGGGGGAAGTGAGAAGAAAGTTGAGAAGGGAGGGAGGAGCAGTGGGGGAAGTGAGAAGAATGCAAATGCAAGTGTGAGTGGTGGGGAGAGGAGAAAGAGGACAGATAAACACAGTGAAAGGGATAAGGGAGGCGGAAATGGTGGGAATGGGGGGAATGGGGGGAAAAGGAGGAATGAGAGAGAGGATGGTAAGGAGGAGAAAGCAGGAGAGAAAGGGGGGGATCGGAAAATAAGTCGTCCTGGCAAGGGAGGGGAGAAAAAGGGGGTGATTTCACATGTTTCAGGTGCTTCAGTTGTTTCAACTGCTTCAGGTGTTAGAAGAGCCGCGACGGGCAGAGGAAGCATGAAGTCCCACTCAAGCAGACACCTGCTGCAGCTGCAGTTGGGGAAGGGAGACCTCCCCGTGAGACACCTTAAAGCCGAGGGAACAACAAATGTGAGCAGCAGAGAGCGGCAGCAACAGCAGCGGCGGCAGCCGGGGCATGGAGAGAGTGGGAGGCGGGCTGCAGGGAGGAGGGTGGCATGGCAGATAACAGTGGTGGAGCGCAGGGGCGTGCGCACCATCAGCAACTTCCGCCCCATGGTTGGGCTACTCAGGGCCGTCTTTCCCCGCCTGCCTGTCAAGGTCGTCTCGCTGGAGGTACATTTATCTGCCAACTCTCTTCTCTTCTCCTCCATTTTAGCTGGTTCATCTCTTCTCTCCACTAGGGTCCTTTCCTTTCCTCATGTCTTCCCAACACTGCCGGTCAATCGGGTCGTTTCAGAGACTGTGAGAAGCTGGTTTGCTGTTCTCTCTCTGAATTAGCTTCCTCCCATTACCGCCTCCCTGCTGCCCCTTTGCCATCCTCACGTGCAGGCCATGCCGTTCGCCGCCCAGGTGCGGACGATGCACCGGACGGCGTTGCTTGTCTCGATGCACGGGGCGTCCATGGCCAACGTGGTGCTGCTGCAGAAAGGGGCGGCAGCACTTGAGATCATGCCATATATGTGGCACTATGGCGCGTACAAGCGGTGGGTGGTGGTGGGGGGGGGATGGAGTGGGAGGGTATCGTGGGGTGTCTGTGGTGTCGCAAGGCGCTTGAGATCATGTCCTCATGAGATCATGTCTGTGGGGTGACTGTCTCATGTCCTCTCCCCCCGTCTTCTGACTGACTGCATCTGCATCTGCATCTGCATCTGCATCTGCATCTGTTCTCTCCAGCATAGCACTGCGGTGGGGAGTGCACTACTACATGTGGCGCAACGAGCATCGCAACCTCTCCACCTACACCGACAACTGTCTCGACGCCAACGGCTTCAGCCAATGGCAGCCCGCCAAGTGTCACACGGTCACGGCCTGCAGGGCGTGCATTCGAGATAAGGTGGTAACAGAGGTGCACCTGGGGGAGCTAAGATCTGCTTTGCTGGCTGCCAAGGAGGTGGTTGACCAATGGGAGCTTAGGAGGGGAAGATCCTTTGTAGAGCTGTCTGATGACTTGACTGCAGATAAGTAGAGTGAAGTTAGTGACATTCTTACAAGAGCAAATTAGCAAATAATGAGCAGATCTCAAGAGCAAATAATGAGCAGATCTCAAGAGCAAATAATGAGCAGATCTCCAGAGCAAATGCGCAATTTATACCTGTGTAGGTCACACACTCTCCAGCGTACATGCCTTGTCACACTCCAGCACTCACGCCTTGTCACACTCCAGAGCACACGCCTTGTCTTGTCACGCCCCATCGCCTTCCAACACAATACCAAGGCAAGTGTGCAGCAATAACCGCGGGTGGTGCTGGGCGTTGCACATAAAGCTCCTCCCACTGCCACTACTAATGCAGCGCTCCCAAGTTCCTGCTACTGCCACCACAACTCAGTGCTCTAAATTCTACTGTCCCACATGATGCCACTGCCAGTACTACTGCAGTGTTTCAATGTCCCAGATTGATGCCGCTGCCACTACTACTGCAGTGTTATAACGTCCCAAGTTCCTGCCACTGCCACTACTACTGCAGTGTTATAAGAGAGCGAAGTAGAGAGCGGGTGCAGTGAAAGGAAAGCATAGTACAAAGGACTGGTGTTGAATTTTGTTGACTGATGTTGACTGCCATGTTGCTGCTCTACCGCCCGCGACACGGCTGCAGCCACCGCTCTGCTGCTCTGCCGCCTGCCCTCCATTCGCCCGAGACCAGAGGATGGTGGGGGGAGAATGCAGCAACGGGATTGGCCAAGGGCAGAAGTCAGGCAATGAATTCTGAATGAGTGCAGCAGAAAGCGCAGCAAAGAACGGGGTAGCACTGGAGGCAGAAACAGAGGAGAGAACTCGAAAATAAAGCTTAAGAATTCGGAAACTTGAGTAAGAATCAACAGTGGGAGACTGGAGGTCACTGACTGGAGGTCACTGACTGGAGCTCACTGACTGGAGCTCACTGACTGGAGCTCACTGACTGGAGCTCACTGACTGGAGGTCACTGACTGGAGCTCACTGACTGGAGCTCACTGACTGGAGGTCACTGACTGGAGCTCACTGACTGGAGCTCACTGACTGGAGCTCACTGACTGGAGCTCACTGACTGGAGGTCACTGACTGGAGGTCACTGACTGGAGCTCACTGACTGGAGCTCACTGACTGGAGCTCACTGACTGGAGCTCACTGACTGGAGCTCACTGACTGGAGCTCACTGACTGGAGCTCACTGACTGGAGCTCACTGACTGGAGCTCACTGACTGGAGCTCACTGACTGGAGCTCACTGACTGGAGGTCACTGACTGGAGCTCCCTGACTGGAGCTCACTGACTGGAGCTCACTGACTGGAGCTCACTGACTGGAGCTCAGTGACTGGAGCTCACTGACTGGAGCTCACTGACTGGAGCTCACTGACTGGAGGTCACTGACTGGAGCTCAGTGACTGGAGCTCACTGACTGGAGCTCACTGACTGGAGCTCAATGACTGGAGCTCACTGACTGGAGCTCACTGACTGGAACTCACTGACTGGACTCACTGACTGGACTCACTGACTGGAGCTCACTGACTGGAGCTCACTGACTGGAGCTCACTGACTGGAGCTCACTGACTGGAGCTCACTGACTGGAGCTCACTGACTGGAGCTCACTGACTGGAGCTCACTGACTGGAGGTCACTGACTGGAGGTCACTGACTGGAGCTCACTGACTGGAGCTCACTGACTGGAGCTCACTGACTGGAGCTCACTGACTGGAGCTCACTGACTGGAGCTCACTGACTGGAGCTCTCTGACTGGAGCTCACTGACTGGAGCTCACTGACTGGAGGTCACTGACTGGAGCTCCCTGACTGGAGCTCACTGACTGGAGGTCACTGACTGGAGCTCCCTGACTGGAGCTCACTGACTGGAGGTCACTGACTGGAGGCCACTGACTGGAGCTCACTGACTGGAGCTCACTGACTGGAGGTCACTGACTGGAGCTCCCTGACTGGAGCTCACTGACTGGAGGTCACTGACTGGAGCTCACTGACTGGAGCTCAGTGACTGGAGCTCAGTGACTGGAGCTCACTGACTGGAGCTCAGTGACTGGAGCTCACTGACTGGAGCTCACTGACTGGAGCTCACTGACGGGAGGTCACTGACTGGAGCTCACTGACTGGAGCTCACTGACTGGAGCTCACTGACTGGAGCTCAATGACTGGAGCTCACTGACTGGAGCTCACTGACTGGAGCTCACTGACTGGACTCACTGACTGGACTCACTGACTGGAGCTCACTGACTGGAGCTCACTGACTGGAGCTCACTGACTGGAGCTCACTGACTGGAGCTCACTGACTGGAGCTCACTGACTGGAGCTCACTGACTGGAGCTCACTGACTGGAGGTCACTGCCTGGAGGTCACTGACTGGAGCTCACTGACTGGAGCTCACTGACTGGAGCTCACTGACTGGAGGTCACTGACTGGAGCTCACTGACTGGAGCTCACTGACTGGAGCTCTCTGACTGGAGCTCACTGACTGGAGCTCACTGACTGGAGGTCACTGACTGGAGCTCCCTGACTGGAGCTCACTGACTGGAGGTCACTGACTGGAGCTCCCTGACTGGAGCTCACTGACTGGAGGTCACTGACTGGAGGTCACTGACTGGAGCTCACTGACTGGAGCTCACTGACTGGAGCTCACTGACTGGAGCTCACTGACTGGAGCTCACTGACTGGAGGTCACTGACTGGAGCTCCCTGACTGGATCTCACTGACTGGAGCTCACTGACTGGAGCTCACTGACTGGAGCTCACTGACTGGAGCTCACTGACTGGAGCTCACTGACTGGAGCTCACTGACTGGAGGTCACTGACTGGAGCTCACTGACTGGAGCTCACTAACTGGAGCTCACTGACTGGAGCTCAATGACTGGAGCTCACTGACTGGAGCTCACTGACTGGAGCTCACTGACTGGACTCACTGACTGGACTCACTGACTGGAGCTCACTGACTGGAGCTCACTGACTGGAGCTCACTGACTGGAGGTCACTGACTGGAGCTCACTGACTGGAGCTCACTGACTGGAGCTCACTGACTGGAGGTCACTGACTGGAGGTCACTGACTGGAGGTCACTGACTGGAGGTCACTGACTGGAGCTCACTGACTGGAGCTCACTGACTGGAGCTCACTGACTGGAGCTCACTGACTGGAGCTCTCTGACTGGAGCTCACTGACTGGAGCTCACTGACTGGAGGTCACTGACTGGAGCTCCCTAACTGGAGCTCACTGACTGGAGGTCACTGACTGGAGCTCCCTGACTGGAGCTCACTGACTGGAGGTCACTGACTGGAGGTCACTGACTGGAGCTCACTGACTGGAGCTCACTGACTGGAGGTCACTGACTGGAGCTCCCTGACTGGAGCTCACTGACTGGAGGTCACTGACTGGAGCTCACTGACTGGAGCTCAGTGACTGGAGCTCACTGACAGCTCACTGACTGGAGCTCACTGACTGGAGGTCACTGACTGGAGGTCACTGACTGGAGGTCACTGACTGGAGCTCACTGACTGGAGCTAACTGACTGGAGCTCACTGACTGGAGCTCACTGACTGGAGCTCTCTGACTGGAGCTCACTGACTGGAGCTCACTGACTGGAGGTCACTGACTGGAGCTCCCTGACTGGAGCTCACTGACTGGAGGTCACTGACTGGAGCTCCCTGACTGGAGCTCACTGACTGGAGGTCACTGACTGGAGCTCACTGACTGGAGCTCACTGACTGGAGCTCACTGACTGGAGGTCACTGACTGGAGCTCCCTGACTGGAGCTCACTGACTGGAGGTCACTGACTGGAGCTCACTGACTGGAGCTCAGTGACTGGAGCTCACTGACTGGAGCTCACTGACTGGAGCTCACTGACTGGAGCTCACTGACTGGAGCTCACTGACTGGAGCTCACTGACTGGAGCTCACTGACTGGAGCTCACTGACTGGAGCTCACTGACTGGAGCTCACTGACTGGAGCTCACTGACTGGAGCTCACTGACTGGACTCACTGACTGGACTCACTGACTGGAGCTCACTGACTGGAGCTCACTGACTGGAGCTCACTGACTAAAGCTCACTGACTGGAGCTCTCTGACTGGAGCTCACTGACTGGAGGTCACTGACTGGAGCTCACTGACTGGAGCTCACTGACTGGAGCTCACTGACTGGAGCTCACTGACTGGAGCTCCCTGACTGGAGCTCACTGACAGGAGGTCACTGACTGGAGCTCACTGACTGGAGCTCAGTGACTGGAGCTCACTGACTGGAGCTCACTGACTGGAGCTCACTGACTGGAGCTCACTGACTGGCTCACTGACTGGAGCTCACTGACTGGAGCTCCCTGACTGGAGCTCACTGACTGGAGGTCACTGACTGGAGCTCACTGACTGGAGCTCAGTGACTGGAGCTCACTGACTGGAGCTCACTGACTGGAGCTCACTGACTGGAGCTCACTGACTGGAGCTCACTGACTGGAGCTCACTGACTGGAGGTCACTGACTGGAGGTCACTGACTGGAGTTCACTGACTGGAGGTCACTGACTGGAGGTCACTGACTGGAGGTTACTGACTGGAGCTCACTGACTGGAGCTCACTGACTGGAGCTCACTGACTGGAGCTCACTGACTGGAGCTCTCTGACTGGAGCTCACTGACTGGAGCTCACTGACTGGAGGTCACTGACTGGAGCTCCCTGACTGGAGCTCACTGACTGGAGGTCACTGACTGGAGCTCCCTGACTGGAGCTCACTGACTGGAGGTCACTGACTGGAGGTCACTGACTGGAGCTCACTGACTGGAGCTCACTGACTGGAGGTCACTGACTGGAGCTCCCTGACTGGAGCTCACTGACTGGAGGTCACTGACTGGAGCTCACTGACTGGAGCTCAGTGACTGGAGCTCACTGACTGGAGCTCACTGACTGGAGCTCACTGACTGGAGGTCACTGACTGGAGGTCACTGACTGGAGGTCACTGACTGGAGCTCACTGACTGGAGCTAACTGACTGGAGCTCACTGACTGGAGCT